GTAAGTCCCTCTTTTACTTACCTTTGATTATGGGGCCCCCCACAGAAAACCAGCATTGAATGTAATGAAATGGCATTTTCTGGGTGAGCCCTTGGAGGTTTCCTGGCACCCTCCTTCCCTTTTTTCTGCGGTTTCGTTTTTGTTCCTCAGCCTTCAAACTGAGGAATTGGGCAGCCGGCGAGGGGGTCCAAGGCTCTCCCTCCTGGAGGGGATGTGTTTAATGTTTGCTTGTTTGTTTATTTTCCTTGTTTCTTTTGGGGCATTCTATTTCTCTGTTTGGTCTTGGGTTTTTTGGAATTTCCTACCATGTGGGGGTTGTTTTGAGATGCCTACCTCTCTGAGTGCCTAACCCTGGTCGATGGCAGACAGGCAATACCCTCAAATACAAGAAGGGTTTCCTTAGGCCATTGCTCCCTGCACCTCTCTGAGGGGGCCAGGTTCTGGCTCATGGTCCCCAGTAGGCAGAACTCCATTGACTGAAGCCCCGACTAATAAAGTGCACATCAGTCCTATAGCTCCAGGGAGTCAACGGGGCTCACCCAGAAAATGGCATTTCATTACATTCAATGCTGTTTTTTTTTATTCTGCACAAAAAAATACTCCTCAATTTCAAGGTCAAAAGGCTAAATTTGTATTTTCTGGAAATTATTTATTCGCTAATAATTTTAGTTTTACAGATTTACAGTGCGGAGAGCATGTTGATTTCAGTATTTGTAGGTACAGTATTATATCAAACCACGTTCATGCTTTGATCTTTACAATCTACCACTTCCAAATACTATATTGATGTTAATATTACTGACATTATACTACAAAACTCTTTACAAATCTTTGAGAATAGTATATTGATTTGAATTTCTCATTGAGCAACTTGTCATAGAATATCCCAGACCTGTTTTGTCATAAAATAGGGCTCAGCTGTCAGTACGGTCATATTGTGGTTGTATGTGAACTCGAGTGTACATTTTGCATTATGGTCTGTTGAAACTGTGTCGGGAAAAGTTTATACAACTTTAGTGGAAATAAATTTGTAGGGCCTGTCCAGCCATGTGTGCATTTTATTTTGGCACATAATGACATATTCAGCTTGTTAGTCACATAACATAACAGGGATTGAACCTGGGATCCCTGTTTGTTAGTTGAGAATGAAGCCAACTGTGTTATGAAACCCTAATGTTATAAACATTCGTAATGCAGCTGAAAATTCATGTGAATGGGAAAAGGGAACTCTAATGCTGGATCTACCTCATTATTAGACAGAAATTAAGATAAAATACATAATTGCAATGTCTTTGACTATGTGATATCTAATTTTCTAGGATGTAATGAAAGTCGGGCAAAAATTAGGTACAAAATTTTAATAAAATAATAATAATATTTGTTATAAGGTAAGTAAATAATGTTTACCATGTGCAGTTTTAAAGTTTATTAATGTGAATTTCATAAATGGGATATTTAACCACTGCGCTGCGCAACGCACCTTGAGGCTCTCGACAGGTGCGCCTCAGGGATCTTATAAGTACAGTATAGCGTATCATTAAAAACTCCCGCGGCTACATGGGGTTCACATCAGCTTCCTCAGGGCTCTCCTAAACAGACGCCAATTTTTTTAGTTATCGTGGGCAACATTCCCGGGTGTGAGAGCCTCAGTACTGAGTGAGCCACCGAGGCTGGTGCACGCAGCATGAGCTAACAGCATTGCTGTTCAGTCTTTGACCACAGCATCGCCTAAAATGTTCCAAATTTATATGTATCTCGTATTATTTAGCCATGATAGTATTACAAAAGAGCCTGACTGTGATAAAGACAGTGTTCAGATATCAGTGTTCAGTGTACAATGTTCAGATATCAGTGAATAAATGCTGTTCAAGATGTTCACACCGCTAGCCACTGCACACTGCTATTATTTCACCTCTCTAAAATTCTTCAAACGATTTCTTGTGTTCCTTTTCAAAATAAACATGTGAGAAAATTATTCATTTACATGATTTAGTTGTAACACGGGGGGGAGGGGGTTCTCTACACGAGACTTCTGGAACCTTCTGGATAATTCTAACAACAAACCTAGTTTGTTACATAGTGAGCAGGATTCTGATAATAGCAGAATTGTGGTGAAAATTAGCATTGTGAATTAGCAGTGGGAGGAGTACTGTTGGTGAGGGAGAGAGGGAGAGGTGGCGTTGGCTGCTGGCTGGTGTAATTACCTAAGTGTAATTACCTAAGTGTAGTTACAGGATGAGAGCTATGCTCGTGGTGTCCCGTCTACCCAGCACTCTTTGTCATATAACGCTTTGAAACTACTGACAGTTTTGGCCTTCACCACCTTAAAAGGAAGCCTAGGGTAAGAATTTGAACTGGTGACCGTGTGAACACCGGGTCCGACCTCCCTGTCTGGCCACGACGCTTCCTAGGATTATTAGGTGATAGAAAACGCGCCCAATAATTTCTGTCTCGCCTGTGATTCGAACTTGGAATTCTCGATTGTGAGTCGAGAACGTATCTCATTGTCCTGCAGATTATAAACGAGCAAGATTGAAGATTTGGGCTGGACCTGTGGACTGTGAGGCCGCAGAGGACGCTCCCACACCTGGGCTACTGCGGCTCCTAAGAATGTGTGTGTACCAATGACCTAGCCTAACCTATCTAGGGCCCAGAAAATCTGTGGGCCCTCAGATTTCCACCCTTCCCCACATCCAGCCAAGTCAGGTCAGGTCTTAGCTACCTGAGCTACTACTACTACCTGAGTGTGTGGCAACATGTTATTGTCTGGAATCACCATACATGCTTAGTGGTTCCTTATGGTGAACACAAATGCAGATACTTATATATAATGTGTGTATATAGTGTAATAACAGCAAAAGGCTTATGTTGGGAAGAGCCATTTAGGTGAGGGAGTGAGTGAAGCTGTCGCCTGCTGTATGCATTGTCATGCAGTGGCCACTATGCTGTTTGGATACCATACCAGCATAGTTGTACAATTATGGTAAATTAAACATGTAGATAGTTATATATAATGTGTGTATATATTGTAATAACACCACAAACAGTATTGTGGGATGAGTAATGTTGGTGAGTTAGGGGTTGAAGGAGTGAGGGAGGGCTGGCTGGGTATGGCAGCCCAATCTTGTTTCTTGGGCTCACTATACCAACTTAGCTGTTTGTTATGGTGAACACATATGTAGATAGGTATATGAGACTGCATTTTAACACTTTGGCGTACCCCGCGCGTCCCCCCTCAACTGTGCGATATGGGACCCAGGGTGTCACGGGAGCGCGCGTAAATTCTGAAAAGTGTATACTCTCTTCAACTTTGTCACCTTAATTCTCGTCCTACGAGATTAAATTTTGTATCATTGTGTTCGCAATAGAATTCTCTACAGCACTAAATGCATATAAACTCCAAAAGCCCGGCTAATTACCCGCAGCAAACAGAGAAAGTGCGAACGAGTTACCCAGGAGCGCGCAAACGCGATAAAATGTTTTCACTATTTTCACTCTGGTCACCTCAATTTTCGTCCTAGGTCTTTCATTTTGGTCTCAATGGGTTCGCAATTGAATTCTCTAGAGGAACATTAGCATATAAAATAAAAAACCTGGTCACGCTCCAACCGCCGAAGAGTTGAAGACGGGCCACGCGTTAGCCGCAAGTGAGCGCTCAGACGCCTTCCAGCTACACTGCCAATTCCCGCCCTTTTCAAGCCTTTCTTTTGCAATTTTCTTCCTGGAAGGGCCTTGTTCATGATCACTATCCATCGTGGAGTAAGCGTAGATAGTTTCTAAAGCCGCAGTAAGAAATATAGCCACGGAAAATAGCCGAAATGTACACACGTTTGAGATGCGAGGGGAGGCAACATTGGTTACAACAGTGGAGCGAAAACAATGGGCCCACGGTGTGTGCCAAGCCGCCTGAGGGCCACGAGGCTCAACAAAGAAAATGGGAAGACATCGGCGCGCATTTTAAAACCAGTCCCCAAAAAATCGGATAAAAACCTGATTTTTGGCGATTATTTAAAGTGGATGACGCAATGCTGCGTCATCCCCGGTATTACCGACAGTAAACGGATGACGCAATGCTGCGTCATGCCCGGGCGAAAGTGTTAACAAAGTAAAAATTAGCATTAATGTAGTAGAGTCTAATGACAAGATGATAAAGGAAATGTCCATCAACATGGAATGTCATGGCATTAACAAAGATAAAAGTGTAGTGGAAGCGCTTGTAAATAAGAAAAGTCACAGGGAGAGTATGTTAACTAAAACCAGCGTTGAGGTCCCTGCTAAGGGTGGAAGCCATCTTGGAAGAGGGTGTGGGTTGGGGGGGGGGGGGGTTCAGGGAAGGCTTACACTAACCCCTCCCCACTTTGGGGAAAAGCTAGTATAAACCTCCCAAAGTGGGAAATTGATTGGGAGGGAAGGAGTCTGCAGTATTAGGAAGGGTAGTGGGTATGAAACACTGATAAGACCTGAAGATAGGAAGAAGTGCTTTCAATGGGACATTCCAGTTCCTTAAGTAGTCCCACCTGATATGAGGCTCTTCACTTTCTTCTCCATCCCAGAAAATGTGTGATTTTCATCGCTATGCAAGTTTGTAGTCAGACAATATTTGGATGTTCCACAACGATTTTTTACAAATGTTGTACAATTTGTATTCATTATAGTACAGAAGTGTGATAATTCTTTCAATAAGTCATCATATGAACACAATCAGACTTAAGTGATATCTTAAATATCATCCAAAATCAACATTTAACACATGGCACTCTTAAGTGTTAAATTCTACCTTATTTTATATAGATTAGCATGCAAATTGTCTTATTGTATTTTATTGATTTACTCAGAATTAGCTTATTTCATATGCTTGCTCAGTTATATGAAGAAAATGTTTTCAGTTGTTATGGGCACTTTGGCAGTAGAGTTTTGTGTTTAAATATTCAAGCAAATGTGTGAATTTTAATGTTTTAGCATTTTGATTTTAACATAGCAATAAATCTTTATTTTGAAATTACAGATACATCAAGTACAGATGTTGATACTGACGTCTTGGTGAATATCACATCGGGTAAAGTTCGGCTACTTTTTGAAATGCCATTCAGCCAACGAACCAATACATTTGTCTCAGAAGTTTTAAGGGCTGCTGAGGGTAAGTTCTTGTTACTGTATTTTCCAGTAGATAAGATTTTGTTGTACACTGCAACCTTGATTAGTGATTTTGACCAGTTTGTATCTCTGGATGTCCGGATAACTGATATCTGGATAACTGAATAAAATATGCAATGGAGTTTTATTTGTATGTAGGAAAGTACTGTAACAAAATGTTTCTTAGATGGTACAGTATAAATTTGTCAGACACCCCAGGCCATAAATCTGAAAATAAGAGAATTAGCAAAGTTTTGGTCTATCCTGGACTGTTATCCAGCTCTGTAATGGGATCCTCTTTAGCCATGTTATTGTGACATTATCTGCACAAGTGTCCTCTGCCACCGAGTCACTCCCAATCTTCACAAATAGTGCAGGTGGAGAACTGGATATTTTTGTCCAGATAATCCAAGAATTCAGAAAATGGAGATCCAGATAGTGGAATTCCTTTACAGTATACTGTATTTAAATTTAGATAACCTTGAAGAAAGGTTTTTATAAATACATTTCCTTACGGATATAACTGTATTCCTTATGGATATACTGTAACTATTATAATTAATTTTATAAGAAATATCTCAAACAAATTGTATTGCAAAGTCATTTGTTTGTATCATTGTAAAACTAAAGTATGTATCTATCACTGTTACTACTCACCTTTATTATATTCTAAATCATATATTTTCTAGGCCAAAGAACTCCATACACATGACTGTTGCCAAAGTCTGACATTAGCATATCAGCCTAGTAAGCTCTGGGAAGCCTCCGGGTCTCACCCAGAAAATAGCGTTTCATTACATTCAACGCCGTTTTTTTTAACCAAATAATTTATAATACATTCAAAAATATGTAGAACCTTAAATATTTCTTTAAAGTCAGAAAGAAATGTCACTATGTTTTAAGCATCTGTTACATTGTTTGAAAATTTAAGAGAAATATTGAATAAAAGCTAACTATGACAACAGAATTTTAAGCCATCAAAGTATTTCTGTAGGGACCAAATGACACTAACACTCACACACCCAAGTCACATTAGCCCTCGTCCTGAATAGTTCTGGGGGACCAGAGCCAGAACCTGGCCCTGCCCTCCTTATAAAGTTGCAGGGATCTGAGGATACTTTATAATCACCAACACCAAGAAAACATCCAGAAAGTAAGCAAAGAAAAACAGACAACTGCAAGATTCATAGAGAAACAAGAAATGAAGTAGCAAATGACTTTGCAAATGATCCACTCAGTAGCCAGTTCAAACTTCTCTAGGTACAGCTGGCCATGCCAGGTGGTAGCACCTCAAGGGCTCCTAGATCTTAAATTAACACAACTCGGTCGTTTCACTGATGTCAACGTGTGTGTGAACCACTCCTTGTGTCACGAGCCTTAGCCAGCCTCAAATGATTCTAGATAAATGTTGGCAATCCTTTGGACTCTGTCCTATGGGCGATGTTTGCTTGTGTATCACTTTTGAGTTTAGTGTTAGTTCACGTGCAAGTGTTTACAAGCTTTACTTGTGTGTATGATGGTTACGTTTTGCCTTGAGCTACATGTGCTTAGGGATGCCCCTTCCATATGCACTAACTTGGTGTTGTCTCGTACCCTGATAGAGTACATTCTCTGGGGGATTTTGAGAGTTTGTCCCCTTACTCCTGGTTCTGAAGCATCCAAAGAGTTTCAGAGTCTAGGCAGGGTATAGCTGTGGGTGTAGTTTAGCCCACCTCTGGGATTTGCCCTATCTATGTAGACAGCAGAAACATTTGAGCCGTTCCTTCCTTTGGGGATTTGACTGGGAATGCAAAACAGCCAGTTATCGACATAAGACATGAATCCCCTAAGAGATGTAGCGAGGTCACAACAACCTGTGCTAATCTGGTAACTATTTGAGGATCTATATTCAAGCTGAAAGGAAGATCCTTGAAGCGGAAAGCATGACGTCCCTCAAGAAACCCCAACCAGTCTCTGAATCTTGGATGAATCAGAACATGCCAGTATGCATCCCTCAAGTCCAGGGACACCATCTTCTTATTTTGAGATTCTTGAGATGATTTTGGGCTTAGCGTCCCCACAGCCCGGTCCTCGACCAGGCCCTCCTTTTTGTTACACACCCTTAGGAAGCAGCCCGTAGCAGCTGTCTAACTCCCAGGTACCTACTTACTGCTAGGTGAATAAGGGCATCAGGGTGAAAGAAACTTTGTCCATTTGTTTCCATCTCTATCTGGGATCGAACCAGGAACCTCAGGACTACGAATCCAGATCGTTGTCCACTCAGCTGTCAAGCCCAGAATCTGCAACACCAAATGGACTTCAGCTAACGTGATATTATATGAAAAGTCACAGGGAATGAATCGGTTCTAACCAAAAGAAGTTGAGTGTAACTGTAACTGTAGTCTGTTGAGTCCTGCTTGGAAAGCAAAGTCCAACCAAGTTATGATGACCAACTGGATCTGAGGGGAAGACTCCTGACCCAAGACTTGTGAATCTAAATAAGGAGTGGACCAACACTACTGGAGACCCTGGAAAAATAACCAGGAAGGCCCACCAATCGTGAGACCAGGAGCTAGCAAAACACGCCAACTTTTGTCCATTGTTACAAGTTCTATTCTGTATTCATGTTTAAAATTTACATACAGAATATCCCACCCCAGGAGGCGGGGTTGGTTTGTGGTCTTCAATTTCGAATTGAGTTGTGTTAACACGGGAGTTGGCAGCTTCTTGGGTACTGCCACCGGGCGGTAGCCAGCTGTAACTAGAGGAATTTGAATTAACTGCTGAGTGGATTGTTTGCAGAGTCATTTGCTGTTTCATTTCTTGTTTCTTTGTGAATCTTTCAGTTGCCAATTTTGCTTTGCTTACCTTCTGGATGTTTTTTTGGGTGTGGGTGATCATAAGGTATTCCCACCAAATGATGCATTTTCTATATATTTTCTGTCTTTGGACATATCAAATACTAGGAGTATTTGTTTCAAATACTAAGAGTATTTGAAGATACATAAGCAGTATGAATATAACTTTGGTGGTTTTGGCCAAAATATGTTGTCTCGCTGTGATAAATTTGTGATTATGTACTGCAGAGGCATTTAAGTGAAATTTTACTATATTATTATTTATGCTATATAAAGCTCAATATTCTCTTTACATAGACTTTTGATACACATTTCAGTTATTAGTAAGCGTCGTGGCCCCCCTCCTGAGTTTGCCTGGCTGCTACCATATCAACAGAGCTCATCCAGCAACACAAGTAATGCAAGAGATTTGACAGAATTGGGGCTGTCTGTGCCAGCCACCAGCTCAGACACCTTGGCTCCTGACACCATCAGCTTGGGGGATGTGGCTGTGGATGTGGGCCACATCCCCCCTTCCCCCTATCTTGATCCTGTGTTCAACAATACTGACAGCAGTAGTTTGCACGTACGTGTTTTGCATGTTTTAGTATGATGATGTATTTCCTAACGGAAAAGAACAGTAATAAAAATAATAATATTGATGGTGATGGTAAGATAATCGTCAGATAAAGATGGATGTATGTTGTTCAGAAATTTTGCAATATATTTGAACAGAGGATTACTAATTCAGTTATACATACAGTACATGGTAGATACATAGTATTAATACTGAAATATGTGTACAGTGCAGTATCATTATCATCTATTTTGTTAAAGGTGATATAAATACAGTAATAGGAGTGATAGGTATGTGTTGCATAATAATTCATCCTGTTTACAATCCTATTAATATATTGTATTAATATATGTATTGCTTTGTTTAGTGACAATAATACATTTTATTTCAAACTGTGGGGATCCCCTTCGGGGCTCCCCACAGTCCGATAGCCCACTGGAGCTATCGGACTGATATATGATATATTAGTCTGGGTGCATCAGTCAATTGCAGTTCAGCCTACCGGGGATCATGAACCAAAACCTGGCCCCCTCAGAGAGGCACAGGGAGCAATAGCCTATGGAAACCCCCATGTGGTTGGAAGCATTCTAAGTCTGCCGTCGACCGGGGTTAGGCAGCCAGAAAGGTAGGCATAACAAAACAGACCCCACATGGTAAGAAATTGCAACCGAAGACCAAACAGAAGCAGAACTTCCCCCAAATTCTAAAGAAAGAAGTAAACATCATACACCGTCGTAATGCTGCTCGTTCACCCGGCTCTCTCCTCCCCGGGAGGCGGAGAGGGAAGCCCCGGACCCCCTTGCTGGCTACTCACAGCTCCAGTTAGTTAGCTGATGCGATCTGGGGCGGACGTCAACTGTGGCCTCGATTTCTTGGCAGTCTTTGTGCCTTTCTGTTGTTTTCTGCTACTTGTGGTGTGGTGACCAGGTGTATCTACAGTGTGCTGGGGCTGCATGTGCTTAGGACTATCTTCCCTAGGCGCCCTGTAAGTACTGCCCTTGGGTTCTAGGGTTACCTTCCATAGAGCCTTCGGGATTCTTCTTCCGTAGGGGTTCTTGTTGCTCGGCATTTACCCCGCCCTCGGGGCCAGCTGGGGTTTCATGGCCTTTGTTTGCCTTTGGGTAGGAAGTGGTGTTGTTGCTTGTTGGGTCGCAAGGTGCTGCACTGCCTGCTTGCCTATGCGGCAGCCTTATTCCTGTTCCTTCTGGTGGCAGTGTACTTTTGCGGGGTTTTTATTTTATTTTTGTTTTCTTTGCCAGGAGAGGGTCTGCCTTGTTTTGCTGTTAGTCCACATAGGGTATATTGGTGCCCCCCCCCCCCCCCCCGTGCTTTTACAGGTCACAGGAGTCCAGGTCTTAGCTCATGTCCCTTGTTAGCTTTTAGGTTTAACTGGCTAGCAGTACTGTACCTTGCCTGGGCTTCCCGTAGATGACATCCCTATTGGCCTCTGGAAACCCCCATCAGGGCTCAGTTGACAGATGGATGTGTCCTATGAGTTCCACCTCACCTTGTGCGAGTTTGAAGGTTGTTCTGTGCCTTTGTCTCCGGGTGACAGTCCCCAGTTTTACCTCCGTTATGCTGCCTGTTGGGTCAATGACACCTTTGACCCGAAGTCTTGCGAGACGTGTTCTCTGCTTGTGCTCGAGTTTACCCATTCTATTGTCACTGAGGTACAGGCAGTGTCCACATTGGATGCCAGGTTTATGTTGCTGCAACGCATTAGGTTGTTTGCTCTCTTGGATGCCCCGGGGCTGCTCCATTTTGGTTACAGGAACTTGGACTTGGGGGTGATAGTTGCTTCGACTTTGGTTCTGTCCGTGTCCCCTGGTCCTTTCCCGGTTTTCGTTGTTTGCCCTGTGTCCATCCCCACCCCCCCCCCCCCCCTCCGTTTCCCCTGCTCCCGGCTCCCAAATGTACGAGGGTTTTGGAGTCGGGGCGGGGTTTAGTCGGTGATGAGGCTCGGGTAGCTGCGGAGGCTGCCCCATTCGAGTCGGAAATGGAGGCATTCGAGCCCATTCCTCCTGCCGAGGCTTCTGGCTCCTGGCTCCTACCAGCAGACCCCCCCTTCTTTGCTGCTTTTGCCCTGGACTCTGCCTTTTCTTCAGGGGTAGAGAGCATGGAGGACAGCTCTGTCCTAGGGCCTGGTTTGTAGGCTCCCGAGACTTGGGAGGAGTTGATCTGGGGGTTTGGGCCCCCCTCCTTCCCTTTGATCCCACTTGGGTTTTGGTGCCCTTTTTGTGGGGTTTGTTGTTGCAGGGGAAGGGGTTTTCTTAACACTTTCGCGCTCTCGGCACTCAAAAAAAAACAATACCCCAGATGCTTTCGGCACTTCGCGCGCCTACGCGGTAAGACCGAAAAAGTGTACACTCTTTTGACTGTCCTGACAATAATTGAAGGCGCACGTATTTAAATTTGGTATCACTGTGTTCGCAATGAAATTGTCTATAAGAGCATACCTATAAAATGCCGCCCAAGCATAAGGAGTATCAACACCAAATAAAAAACTATGCAGATCACTCGCCGAGAGTGCCAAACAGCAACAAAATGTTTCCACTCTCTTAATGGTTGCGAAGCCTACAGTTGTCCTACATCGCTAATTTTGGTATCATTGGAATCGCAATAAAATTCTCTACACGGACATATGCATATGAATGTTTAATATAGGTAATTGCCCACCCGCAAGAGTGTGTGAAGTGGAGAGTAGTTAGCCGCGAGCGCACTGGCGAAAACACAGGGGGGAAATCATGCTTGGAAAGTTTATACGTTTCCTGACCCTACTTTTCTATGTACGTATTTCTTTTGTATACCAATGTGTTCGCAATAAAATTTTCTATAAGATGAACTGTATAACATTTGTACAAAGCATGTGTAAGAGAAGCGCCAAATATAGAACCACGTCGCTCAGTATGCATTCGCGGCCGAAACGAACGCATTGTTTTCGTTCGTTTGATGTTTGTCATGTTTATACTTGTTGAAACATTTTATAATTTGTATGACAGTGATCGCAGTAAAATTCCCTACACAGACATATACATAACACATACAAATATTTCCCACGTGTTGGATATATCAACGGCTAAAGGGAACCCACTGCCACACGCTCGCCACACCCCCAAACATACTTTGTGTATTTTTTTTTTACTCATAGAAGTTTATGTGATATAATATTCATTCTGGTACCAAAAAATTCGTAAATAAATTCTCTATAAAACAAAAGTATCCCCATCCATTTCGGTTAAAAAATGGAATTTATAGAAATATTTTTTCGATGGACGAGAAAAGTAGGCTGTTATGCGGAATCGTAAGAAAAAACGGCGACGAGTTATCTCTAATCTAAAGCGCAAAAGTGTTAATCCCCCCCCCCCCTTCCCTATATGAGTATGATTTGGGGTCAGCTCCTCCCCGGGTTCAGTTCCGGGTTCCCTTGGGTTCCTCGGCTCCTTCCTTCTTTCCGGAGGATTTCTGTTTCTCACATCCCACCTAATGATCAAGACCTTGTCTTGATCAAGATCAAGATAAGAATCAAGATCACGATAATGAGGTGGGGGAGGCTCCTGCGGCTTACCTCCTACGTGACCTGGATTTTGCCTCTGTGATGGATCCATCTTCATTTGAGTTCGGTTCTTCTTCCCCATATTGGATGCGTTATGAGTCAGTCTGGCTTGCAGACTGCCCTTTCTTTTCGCAGGTAGTGTGGCTTGGGTTTTGTCGGACCCGCACGCTTGAATGGCGGGAGGCTGCTACTGTTTTGCAGGTTTACCTGGGGGGGGGCGGGCAACTTTGAGAGCCTTAATGTGTGCTTATTCACCCCTGTGCTTCCTCAGGATGTTGACCTTGTTCAGCTGTATGTGCTGGTTCCCAGCCTTTCGGCATCCTTGGCGGTTGAGGACTTGCGTACTCGCGGGCATTTGGCCTCGGTCTTGCGCTGCTTTTCCCCTTCTTGAGTTGTCCTCGGACTGGCTTGGAAAGGATGTGGAGGCATTGAGTGCCGGGCCTTCGTCTGGGGAGCTGGCCTCGGCTGCTCGAGTGTTGGCTGCACTGTTGAAGCAGTTTGTGCTGATACTCCGGGAGGCAGTGTCTCTGTTCTTTGCCTTTCACCTCGCGTGCCGCCAGGCCGTGCTCGCTCACTCCTTGTACTGTACTTTGTTTCCGCCCTGGCTCTTTGGTTTTCATCACCTTTTTGTCTGTTGCTGTTTGCAGAGTCTGCTGTTGTGCAGTTTCTGCAGGCGGCTTCATCTAGTTGTCGTCCTATATTGGATTTGTTGCTTCTCCGGGGTGGCCATTCCTGGGCCTCTTGGAAGGGTCGTGCCAGGGCTCAAGGTTATTCTGGTCGAGGTGGGCCATTGGTGCCAGTTTCTGAGCCGGTGGTTTCTTCGGAGTCGGCGTCGTCTGGTCAGTGCGATGCTCGCTCTGCTCGTTGGCCAGCTTCTCATAAGGGGTGTTGGGCCTTTTTGCAATTTGCCCCATTGACGGGGCACTTGGGGGGAGACTCGCCCTGTTTGCTTACGCCTGGTCCCACGATTTGTGGGCATTTCGGGTCACATCCACTACCCTGTGGTGGTGTTGGGCGGCTCCTCTCCTTCGCGGGGTTTGGGGCTGGCGAGACAGGCTTCTTCCCTTTGCTCCATTGGGTCATCTTGGAGTGGGTGCGCTGGGCGTGGTCAAAACAACCACGTCTCTCAGGTGAGTCTTCTGCCTGTTTCCAGTACTGAAACGGGACTGTGCGGATCTGAGATTTGGTCTTTCTGACGCGGGCTTATCACCACTTGCATGTGATCAGGTGGCTTCATTGATGGTGTCTCACCTGAGCGTTTTGTCTTGGTGGCAGTATGAAGTTTCCTGGCGGTTCGTTCGTCATATTTTGTCTCTTCGTAGGTTGTCTTCGATTTCTGATGGGGTTGTTTTGTCTTTTCTCTCTTGGTTGTTTCAGGACCGTCCTCCTATGCCAAATACTGTCGCCTCGTATCGTGTGGCGGTGGCAGAGCCGCTTCTGCTTGCGTTTGGGGTGGATGTCACTTCTGCTACGTTCTGCAAACTATCTCGTGCATTGTTTCACCTCCAACATGCTAATGCGCCGCCTGAGCCATCCTAATCGTTGGAACTGGTGCTCTCTTTTTTCCTCAGTTTGTGGTGGCCCCTTCTCTTCAGGATTGTGTTTCTAGGGCTCTTTTTCTTGTTGGCATTGGCCTCTGGATGGTCGGGTCGGGGAGCTTCATGCTCTCCTCCGGCACAAGGGTTTCTGCTCTTTCGGTCCTGGGGGTCAGTTTTTTCGTTTGCAGCTGTCTCCTTTTCTGGCGAAGAATGAGACTGCTGCTTTCCGGAAGGGTCTTTGGGTTGTTGATGCTTCGTTGGTTTGGGCGGGGGTGCATCATGTCTTGTGTCAGGTTGTGGCTCTTCGCTGTTACTTGCAAGCCAAAGCCTTGGTGGCCGGGGACGAGCTTTGGGTGGATCCGGTTTCCCATCTTCCCTGTTGCAAGGCATGGCCATCCCAGGTTGTTCGCAGGGTTATTCGGTGCAGCCAGCCTGCGGTCTATCCCCATGCTCACAATGTTCGTAAGTTTGCGGCTTTGGCTGCTGTTTTCGGTAACATGTCCTGGGTTGACATTTGGGCATGGAGTTTTTGACAGTCAAACAAGGTCCTGGTTGCACGGTACCTAGTTAATGTTCCTGGCCCTACTCGGGCGTGTGTAGCCTTGGGTCGCAGGTTGCAGCCAGTTGTCTCGACTTCGAGTTGAGGAGCGAGTGACGACCGCCTCCCGGGTAAGTCCCTCTTTTCTTATCTTTGGTTAGGTAGCTCCGGGGAGCCAGAGGGGCTCTCCACATAAAACCAGCATTGATTGTAATGAAACACTATTTTCTGGGTGAGTTTCGGAGGCTCCCCAGCAACCCTCCCTCCCTCCCTCCGGTCAGTGGTTTTCGCGTTTTTGACATTCAGCCTCTGAACTGGGTTTGGATAGCCGGTGCAGGTGGTCTGGGGCTTCCTCTTCCCCCCTCCCAGAGAGGGGGGAGCTGCACAGACAGTGGAGCGGCGGCGATAGTGACGCATGCTTGTTTTTGGTTTGGGGATTTCTGCTTGCTAGTTCAGCGTTCGGTTGCAATTTTTAACCAGCTGTAGTTTGTTTTGGGATGCCTAACCTGGTAGATGACAGACATGTAAGGTTTCCAATCACATGGTGGTTTCTATAGGTATGAAGGCACAAGGAGCACATTGCTCCTTGTGCCTTTCTGAGGGGGCCAGGTTCTGGCTCATGGTCCCCGGTAGGCTAAGAACTCCAATCGAATTGACTGATGCCATGGTCTAATATATGCATATCAGCCTGGCATAGATCTGAGAAGCCTCCGGGATTCACCCAAAAAATGGCGTTTCATTACATTCATCGCTGGTTTTATTTTATGAGCTTGGAAACAAATGATTATTGTAATGAACTGAAAATATTTAAATTGTGCAGAAGAAACATGATGTAGTTTTTCAAATTATTACTAGTTTAATTAGCATTACTTAATTGCATTTCAGCATGATGGCGACAGAAGCCCGGACCTTGGGGTCAATCGGCACAATATTGCCAAAGGAATTTCTCCGACGCCTATTGCTGCTCGGGAGAGTCATATTAGACATCAAATGGCACTGCGAGAGGACTCTTATACAGACATTCACAATTTTACGTATGTAAATAAATTCCTGTATTTATATTTTGAAATGTAATGTCTTTAGTTGAAATATTTAGTGAAACTCAAGTTTTAGGTATGGTATTCTTTTCGTAAATGCTGAATATGTACTGTATCTTAGTCTGTGTGTGTTTTCAGGTATCCTCTATAGGGATGCCTTATTGTTTACATTGAATGTTTGTAAGTTTTGTCAACATTTTGTAGGGTCTGTGCATTGTCGTGCAAAATTTACCTTTGCATGTTGACTTGAAACTATCAACATTTACACATGTTGGTGCAAAAAAAAAGGTCCCTATTGTTAGATGTATTTTAGAACCTTTTGCACACATATTGGTGAGAGAAAGATCTTGAGCAATATTTTGAAGATGAACTAGCATAACTGCACCAAATTTTCTTCTCACATGCCCTGATGTTAGGGTACAGTATACCTAAAGTATAAAAAATATTCCTGATGGTTTGATTGATTGTTGCCACCGGAGGCGGCTAGTTTTGCACCCCATACTCATCCTGTGAGCGGTAGCGCAAAAGCATTACAGAGGGCACAAAAGGTCTTTATCAGACCTCATCATAGATTATTACATAAACAATTTTATCTATCCTTCACACCTTATAGTTGTATGTCAGCTAGTTATAGAGAATGTTCTATTTCAAGAGCTATATATTTCCAGTAATTCATTATATATTAATGGTAGGTCTTATCGCTAATACATAATTGTTTGAGCAATGGCGATATTACAGTCATAAGGGAGCTGCTGTTTATTATTAGTCTTCACAATACTTAGTTTCTTAATCTCATGTCGTTTATCTGGCCACGAGTGTCCTTGTGTTTGGGTGGGACTTTTGAAATTGTCATGGGCAGCTCTTGTTTCTTGGCTCCCTGTGACCTTTGGTTAGCACTAGCTCTCTCTTCTTGGCTTCACACTAGAACACAGAGTTCCATACCCATTCCCTCACTGCTTAGGACAGATGGAGTTTTGGTGTTTTTGCTGCTCTTGGATTGGCTTTTATTTTCCCAGTTGGTTTGGTGGTTTCATTTTCTGTCATTTTGCTTCATACCCATTTTCTGTGTTTCGCAGCTGGGTAGTCACATATTAGGTTTAGTGTGGCCTGGTGATCTCTTGGCTTGTCCTCTCGGGCACTGAGTGGTGTTTCCTTGGCTCCACAGCATCTGTTGCAAGAAGTATGCAAGTCTGGAGCCTTTGGGGTTCCTGTGGGGAGTTTTCTCCAGTTTAGTCAACTCCATCCAGAACCTGATTGATTCCTTTGCTTACATCTTTGAAGAACCTGCTTAGGGCTTAGTATAGACTCCCTTTTATCTTGCCTCCCTCTCTTAATTTCTTTTCTGTTCTAAGCCTGGGGTGAATGCCTTGACTTGTCAGGGGAGTCCTCTGATAAACTGTTTCTTCCTTTGGATCCTCTGGTTCTTCTGGTTCATGGCCCCCATGTGCCAGGCCCCTGGAATATCATGTGTTTGCTTCAGCATTACTGGGCATTTGCCCTGGTTTCTGAGGGGGAAGGTGGTGGAAAGCATCTCCCATAGCTTAGAAATTGACAAACATTTTTCAATCTAGTTTTGGCCTGTTTTTACATCACTCGTTTCTTTTCTAAAGGTGGTTCACCTTTTAAAGAATGTCCCAAGTCCGAATTGAGAGTCCCACTCTATTGCTTGGACTCTCAGAAAGAGGCATTTTATTACATTCAATGCTGGTATTTTCTTTTAAGCTTTTGCCTCCCATTTCTAGGAAATTGGGTTAATGATGTTCATAAAATGTTAAAGAAATTATTTGTAAATGGGAAATTTTTTGACAGTGAAGCAAGTGAATGATAAACTTTTTAGTGTAGGTTCTTGAACATTTTATTATTTTCAGGGTTTTTGCCGGTACCTGGAATGTGAACGGCCGCTCACCTACTGTCGGGCTGGCTGAGTGGCTGTCTATGGATGAAGACCCTCCAGATGTGTATGGTATAGGCTTCCAAGAACTAGACCTTAACACTGAAACATTCCTTTTCAATAATACTCCCAAAGAACAAGAATGGCTGTGAGTAAAGAAATACGTATTTTTACTACACTGTATGTAAAGTGTTTTAAAGGAGACCCGGTCCTCGACCAGGCCTCCTTTTTGTTACACACCCTCAGGAAGCAGCCCGTAGCAACTGTCTAACTCCCAAGTACCTATTTTGCTGCTAGGTCACAGGGGCATCTGGGGTGAAAGAAACTCTGCCCGTTTGTTTCCGCCTCCACCGGGGATCGAACCCGGAACCTCAGGACCAATAATCCGAAGCGCTGTCTTCTCAGCTGTCAGGTCTTGGTGCAGTTTCTGTCAGTTCTGCTTGCTTGAATGGCATAAGGCTGCTTCTATGTTACAGGTGTTTCTTGGGGGCGCTTCCTTTGCAACTCTCAGCATCTGCCTGTTTGCGCCTGCTCTCTTTAGGGATGTTGGGATATTGTAGCTCCATGCTCAGGTTCCTCAGTTATCGACTACACTAGTAACAGAGGATCTTCCCACTTATTTGCACTTGGGCGCTGTCGTGCATTCCTTGAGCCTTCTTGTGCTGCATTCGGATTGGCTCTCGAAGGACATTGGAGCACTCGGTGGTGCTACTCTTGCTGGGATTTTGGTCTCCACTGTGGTGTCGTTAGCGGTTCTTCTTAAGTTGTATGCCCCTATCCTCTGTGAGGTGGGGGCACCATTTTTTGCCTCCTGTCTCAAGTGTCAACAGGCTGTGCTAACCACCTCTTTGGATTCGGTGTGGGCCCAAGCTCTTATTTCCACCCATTTTTTTCTCCGTTGTTGTTTCCGGAGGACGTTGTGGACCAATTGTGGCTCCTACGGCTACTGCTTGTCGGCCGGTGTTGGACTGGTTGTGTCTTCTGGGTTGTCCTTATGTTTTGAGGCAGATTGGCAGGGCTAAGGCTGTTGGTCTGGGCAGGGTCTATTATGGAGCCAGTGGCTGGGATATATCAAGACAGATATCTTGTAAATATTCATCCTCCTCATTGGCCTTGTGTGGCCTTGGGTCGTGTGTTGCGGCATGTGGTTTCTTCTTTGTTGTGATACCTGCGGTACTTACTCCTCCCTGGCTAATCCCCTTGTTGTTGTCCTCCTTGACTTCCTGACACCCACCCTTTTCCAGGGAGTCAGGGGGTGATTTTTACCATCATCATAGAACTGAGGGTGGAGCAGCCGGCTAACCCGGTCTGCCTCCTCCCAAATGATGGGGGGAGGGAGGTGGGGCAAAAGATCTTGCACACCCTGTAATTTAGCACTGTATCAGCATCGTAGCTTCAGGGAGCCACCAGGGCTTTCCCAGAACTTGGCGTTTCATTTTATTCAGTGTAGATGTTTCATCTCCTACCAGAAAATGCTTCTCCAGTGCCTTCTTGATCTCTGAATTGAGTTTTAGTTTTTCTCTTCTCATTTTCTGTTTCCCCTTCATTTCCTGATTTGTTTTAAAGACTTTGGTTTTAGTAGTTCATGATTTTGGGGTGTCAAGTTTGGCAGATTCATGTTCTTTGGAAGCGTGAATTTTATTCTTTCGGCCCAAGTGAGCAGTTTCTTCATTTGCAGCTGTCTCCTTCCTTTCTTCATATGAATGAGATGATTAGTCTCTGGCCGGGACTATTGGTCATTAATTGTGTTCGGCCGTGGGGTGCATTACTTACTTTGTCCAGTTGTGGTTGCTGTTATTTGGGTTCCACTCATGATGCTCCAGGTGATGAATGGTTTGTAGATTTGGTGTCCCTGGTCCCTTGGTCTTGTCTCATGTTGTCCGCAGGATGGTTAAGTTGAGTTGTACTGCGGTCTTCTGAAGGACCCATGATCGCAAATTTGCAGCTCTTTCCGCATTCTTTTCTAATATGTCTTGGTCGGAGATTTCGGCTTTTGGGTTTTGGGGGTCAAATAGTGTTGTGGAGGCTTGGTGAATGATCCTAGACTGCAATGGATTTGTGTGGTGCTTGGTAGAATGACCTGGTGCTGATTCCCTTTTTTGGTGGTTACTGACAGCTGCTCTCCTCTTTCCTGGATGAGTTCCTGTGTTCTCTGTGGTGTGATAGCTCAAGGAAGTTTCTGAGGGGCCTACAGACTGGGGCATTACATTACATTCATTGCTGTAACATCATTTTTCTACATAGTCAAACAAAAATTCGATCAAATGTTTATAATACTTCACTTGTATAATATTCTCATGTGTTTCTGGCATTCAAATGAAATCTTTGTCTTTGTCAACCAATCATGTCTGCATTACTGTATTTTAATATCCTCATCCTGTAATCCATACATTATCCTAATTCCACACTCTTGTTTCAAAAACTTTTTTCATGTATTTATTATGCTCTTCCTTTCTTAACTGCTATTGGACAGACAATATATTTTCAGAGTTTGTAGTGCCTAGAGACTCAGAATGATCTCAGTTGCTTTGCTCTCATTTCTAGTCCTTTTGTAGTTATTTTCTATAGTCTGCATTAATAAAAAATAATATTTAGCCATAATATCACTGTTTATCCATGTACATTAGATAATAATGGCTTCATAACTTTTACATTTCAGTTTAATTTTAATCATTGAAATAAATGCTTCATCAGCCGTTCCATGTTACAGATGGTTTACTTTGTTAGTTAACTAATGTCATGAGAACAGGATTTGATAGAATATATCTTCAATATATCTTCACAATATCTGTAACACTACTCTCAGGTATAAGCAATTACAAACATTTATAATTGTTCTAGGAATGCAGTGCTGAATGGCATCCACCCCAAAGCTAAGTACCAGAAAGTGCGTCTGGTACGTCTTGTGGGTATGATGCTTATTGTTCTGGTGCAAGAGAAGCACTTGGCTTACGTCCGCAATGTTGCCAGTGACACTGTTGGTACGGGCATCATGAACAAAATGGTACGCTTGTTTTAATGTTTTGAGTATTAGTTTGATGTCTGCCTGCTATAAATGGTTCTTGATTGTGCCTCAGTTGTTAATATTTGGTGTGATTGTCGGCATGTGTGCTCTTGTCTTAGGCAGTCATGTGTCTAGCTAGCCTCTAGTGACTATTCTTCTATACCAGAGTGAACTGAGTTTAAACACAACTAGGGATAGTGCTTTTTATTGATTGCATTTTTTCTGTTTCAGGATTCTCATTGTTTTATTTATCCTGAGTGCTTATTACTGCATTCATCATTAATGTTTACACTTCTAAAAACTAGCACGACGTGGCCTCTTCACTATATAAAATTGTTTTGCATTTGTTCCCTCGCAGGACAAAGTTATTAGTGGTTCATTGTGTTTAGTTCATCTAAGGAAAACTTTAGCTAAATATGTATTCACTATTTGTGTCAAAAAGAGGAATAAATTTTTCTTTGGTGCAAATAAGTGCACCACCACAATATCACTTTTTTGTTTTTTATTAACATTTTACAGAACATTTTAATAGAAGCTTTAAATTTGAATATCACTGGAAAAATTTGTTGTTCTGTTCCCTATTTTGGTATCTTTTTGTGAGCAATACAATCAAATGTCATCAAGTGAATTTTCATTGACCACAGGGAAACAAAGGGGCTGTGTCTGTGAGGCTAGATTTACACAGCACCTCCATTTGTTTTGTGAATGCTCACTTGGCCGCTCACCAAGAGGAGTTGGAACGCAGAAACGAAGATCACGACTGTATATTTCAGAGAACATGCTTCAACCTGAACATCAATAGCCCTCCAAAAACTATAAAAGACCACGAGTGAGTACATTATACCATAATTAGATGGTTTTGTGTCATATATGTTTTATGTAATGTTCCTTATTACTAGCTGGTTGAGAGCAAGGCTGGCTAGAAAACCCTCCTAGATGGAATAATTCATGAAGTACAGTACTTTTATATAATATACATTTTTCCCTCACTTGTCCATAGCAGCATAGATAATCTTCAGAATCTGCATTAAGACACTTCTCGCAACCCTTTGTTTTGTCCATATTATCTATACCCTGTTTCACACTTTTATTGGTTCATGGCAAAAAAAGGGTAAATTATATATGAAAAAGGAAAAAAATTGTAGAATTTTTCTTCACCCTGACTGCAGTTACATGCAACATCACCACTTTGCAATGGCATATGTCTTCAACAAATGCCACTTTGTTTATTGAATGGGATAGCAAGCGTATAGGTCCAGGGTACACTTGGTTGAGTAAGAATACTTCCTATGGGGCAGTCCTCATTGACAGGCTTCACCTGCTCCCGATTCACATTATTTGTGAGTCAACTTCAGTGCAACAAAAGCATTGTAAAGGCCCTCTCAGTGGTTCCTCGTCAAAATTTATAATAATGACTAAAGGCTTAATGGTGTTGAAACCTAGAGCTGTATCTAGCACAAGATGAAGCTGGAAAAAGCTCAGAGGTATGCCACCAGGCTAGTCCCAGAACCAAGAGGCATGAGTTATGAGAAAAGGCTGAGTGAACTGCACCTCACGTCACTGGAAGACAGAAGAGCTCGGGAAGACATATTAAAAACTCACGGAAATTGACAGGGTAAAAAAAGATGGATTATTAAACACAGGTGGTGCACACACAAGGAGACACAGGTGGAAGCTGGGTAGCCAAATGAGCCACAGAGACATTACAAAGAACTTTTTCAGTGTCAAAGTAGTAAATGGCATGCACTAGGAAGTGATGTGGCTGACTCCATACACAGTTTCAACTGTAGATATGAGGGAACTCGAGAAGCTCAGGAATCTGTACACCAGTTGATTGTTGGTTGAGAGGCAGCTCCAAGCGCTAAAGCTCAACCTCCGCAAGCACAACTAGGTGAGTACTGCCAGTTGCAAGGGAAACACACGAGTTCCAAATGGATACTCTGGCAATCAACATTAAGGCATGCACAATCAAGAAGTAATGACCTGTCATTATAATAGTCAATAGCCATGCACATATGTTTAAATGTTCAGATAATTACATATTCACCATCAGATCTTTCTTTAACTCAAGCCTACACCTATTGCGGATGGGTAGCAAGGCAAGTAATCTCTGGTAGATCAAGAGAGAGAGAGATTTGACGTGCAGATAGAGAATAACACAAGGCAACAAGAGTTTAGTACTGTACTTACAGTAATGCTGGCCTCACACTCTCATAACAATGATGCATACAAGCTATGTTAATTTTCACATGGACCTTGGTTGGAGTCCACCCAATCCTGAGATAGCAGGACTCCTGCCTAGTTGGGAGCAACTGAGTGGTTTTCTCAGAAATAGGCTTTTTATCTAAATCAATAACAATATAACCTTATTAGTTATGTTCATGGTAAAATTTTCTCAGACGAAAGAAATTTTTAAGTAACAATGTTTTAAATAGGTGAACCCATGGTTTACTTTTAAGATTGCAAGTTGTATTCTGTTGCCTTTTAAGTTTTAAATTTCATGTCCGTTCAAATAATCATCTATTTAATTCTACATTTTTAATTTCAGTCATATATATTTCATTGGGGATATGAACTACCGGATAAATCCTTGTGACGTAAACATCAGAGAGGTTGCTAAGAGTGGAGAGCTGAAGATTCTCCTAGAACACGAACAGCTTACACAGCAACGAACCTTAAAACGAATATTTCACAACTTCAAAGAAGGGAAGATTACTTTCAAACCTACATTCAAATACGATGTTGACAGTGATGAATGGGATTCAAGGTATGTATGCATGTATTTTATATTTTCTGGCTGATATATTTCTGTAAATTGTCATCCTCTGTTGAATGTCATTTTCTGTGGGAGCCCCGTTAACTCCCTGAAGCTGTCAGACTGATACTAGCTATATTAGTCTCTAGTGTCTAGTGTCAGACTGATACTAGCTATATTAGTCTCGGGCTTCAGTCACATGGAGTTCTGCCTACTGGGTACCACATGCCAGAACCTGGTTCCCTCAGAGAGCCACAGGGAGCAATGGCCTATGAAAACCCCACTCTTTAAGAGTATATTCATGTCTGCCATCAACTGGGGTTGGGTACCCAGAAAGGTAGGCACCCCAAAACAGACCCCAACTGGTAGAAAATTGCAATCCAAGACCGAACAGAGCCCAAGAAACCTCCCCTCCCCCCCAAAAAAACAAGTTAACGAGCAAATCATCATCAAACCGACGCTCTGCTCGTTCATGCCCCCTCCTCCTCCTCCCCCAGGTAGGGGGAGGCCCCGCCCACCCGAGCCAACCGCCTGCTCACCAGTTCGTCGACTGAAACTGGCTGGGGCTGATGTCTACTCGGGGGGGCTGCCATTTCCTGTCAGGATTTTACCACTGGTGGTTGTACCTGCCGTGTGTTGGGGCGTTGGCCAGATTACCAGTACTTTGGGCTGCATGTACTTAGGGTTCTCTTCCCTAGGTGCCCTGTAAGTACATCCTTTGGGCCTCAAGGTTCTCTTCCCTGGGCTTTTGGGTTCTCATTCTTGAGGGGTTGTTGTCGCTTGACATCGGCCTGGCCCTTGGAGTCAGCGATGGTCTTGGTGCTTTTGTGTGGTCCTGGGTAGGGAGTGTTTGTAGCTGGTTGGGGCACACGGTGCTGCTCAGCTCGCATACACGCGGCGGCCATGACTCTCTCTGGCCTCCTATTGTTTTGGAGCACTTTTGGGGTTTCCTTTCATTCTTTTTAGATTCTTTCCTGCCTGATGGAGGACTGCCTGCCTTCCCATTAGGTACGCCTAGGATTCGTTTGGTGGTCCTCCACTCGGCCCCTGAGGTTGCTCCCTTCACTGGGGTCAGTTTGCCTGGTATATAGACGGGATTCAACTGGCTTTGGAGCACCAGTGCCTGGGCTTCCCATAGGGACACCTCTCCCTGTGGGCCCTGGAAACCCCTGTCGGGGCTCAGGTGACTATGGATATGTCTTCCAAATCCCATCTCGCCTGCTTGTTACCTGCTTGATGGGGTTCTGGGAGTTCTTCTACTCCCCAAGCCCGGCCCGAGGCCAGGCTCAACTTGCGAGAGAATTCGCCTTGTGCGAATTTCAGGAATATTCGTTGCCTTTGTCTCAGGGTGACGATCATCTGATTTTCCTCCGTCATGTTGCTTGTTGGATCGACAACACCTTCGACCCGAAGTCGTGCGAAACTTGTTCCGTGCTCATCATCCAATTTACTTAATCTTCCTTGGGAGATATTCGGGGTCAAGCGGCTGTTGCGTTGCATACTAGGTTTTTGTTGGTGTGATATGCTAGATTGGTCGCTCTCTCGAATGCCCCAGTGCTGCCTCGTTTTGGTCTTAGGGACCCGGACTTGGTGGCATTGGTTGCTTCAGTCTTGATTCAGTCCGCTGCCTCGAGTCCTTCTCTGGTTGGTGTGGTTGGCCCTGCTCCTTTCCCCCTGCTGCCGACTCCCAAACATCTGATGATTTTGGAGTCGGGACGGGGTTTAGTTGGGGATGAGAGTCGGGTGGCCCTGGGGGCTGACCCATTTGATGCAGGGACAGATACCATTGAACCCAATTGTACTGTTGAGGCTTCTGGGTTCTCCCAGCGGACCCCTCTTCTTTGAGGCTTTTCCCTTCGACTCTGCCTTTTCTTCAAAGGTGGTGGGCATGGATGTGGGTTCTGCCCTGGTGCCTCTCTTGAGGGGACTTGGGGCTTGGGGTGGAGTTCATTTGGTGTGCTTGGGTTCCAATTTGCTCCTGCTTGGGCCTTTGTGCTTCTGAACAGGGGTCTTGCTCTTGCACAGTGAGCGCTGTGAGCAATGTTCACCAGGTTGTCCGGCGACTATAAGAAATATTGCCGGAACAACTGTGGACATCTTCAAGAGAAAACTGGACGGTTTTCTAAGAGAAGTTCCGGATCAGCCGGGCTGTGGTGGGTACGTGGCCCTGCGGGCCGCTCCAAGCAACAGCCTGGTGGACCAAACTCTCACAAGTCGGGCCGGGCTTGGGGAGTAGAAGAACTCCCAGAACCCCATCAACCATGTATCAACCAGGGACGGTGGGCTCTATCGCTCTGTTGGGCTCACAGCACACTGCGGAAGTTTGCGGCAGTGTGGCTTTCGATGTGGATGATTTGGCTCGCTTGCGGCTCCATGATCTGGTTCCATTCGGACTGCGCTCTGGTGGTTCATTGCCTGAACCGTGTGGGGGGGTCTCTTTGGTCCGTGGCTCTTTGGGACTGGTCGCTTCGAATGGCTCTTCTGCTGAGTTCTCGGGGTTTAGCTCTCCGTGCGGTTCACATCACAGATGTATCCAACGTCATGGTCGATGGCCTGTCTCGGTTCATTGCCCTGTCCACGGAATGGAAGGTTCGATGTGGGCTCCTTCAGTTGGCTCTGCCGGATGTTTGGGCCTACGGAGGTAGATCTCTTCGCGTCAGCGTGGTTGAGGCGTCTCCCGATATATGTGGTGCCCTTCCTTGACTGCAAAGCCATTGCGGTTGTTGCTTTTTGGCAGGACTGATTGAGGTGGGGTTACCTGTACCTCTTCACCCCAGTCCAGCTGTTGTTTCAGGTTTTAGCTCAGCTGGAGTCCTATCAGAAGGAGGGATCTCATTCTGGCCCCATGGTGGGGCTAGAATGGTAGGTACGAGGTATGATGAGCTATGCACCATAACGCACCCAATTCAAGTCTGATGCTTCGTTTGAACATGTAATCCGTTCCCAGAGATGGCTCGTAACCCAAAAATTCGTAAATAGGGGCATTCATAATCCGAGGTTCCACTGTATTTGAAGTGAGGCCTGTGTACTATTAGGGTTTATCATTTGATATTTCATGTGTTGTGGGTTAAACCTGGACTAGTTGAAATAGTTGATTGACCACATAACCCAAATGCACTCTGGCATGAAGTTAAATGAGGTCATAAAGACTCTCCCATGCTCTTGTAGTGGTGGTGATACAGTGGTACAGCACTCTGCTTTGCATAATGCGGGCAGAGGTTCTAGTCCCAGCAAGGGCATTTGAAACTTTCAAGTACTGTATATACAGTATATGTATAGATGGATGGATGGATCCATCGATTTTAGGTTTGTACAAATTCAGTAGTACCAATTATTATTTTGTAATTGCGTTGTCCATTGGTATATGTACTATGGTCCTATAAATTGTCATCCACACTTCCGTGGAAATAAACATTCCATTCATCTGGACTCTAGGAGACGGTCGAAAGAGCTTCGGCCTCACACGTGTGGGGTCCGTGGTTCGAGTCTCCTAGAGTCCAGGTGAATGGAATACTATGGTCCTCATCCTTCTTATAATTACTATCAAAATAGGAGGATGGACTGATTTATCAGCACTCAAACACTTCCTCCGAGCAATACTTAGGTTCCAATTGACCGCTCACATGCTTGTTTGCTTTGTGACTGCTACTCCATCCCACAAATCAAGTGATATCATCAGTACAGTACAGTATATCTGTTAGATTTGATGAAGCCCTTAGATAGAAATAGCCGTCTTTGCTAAAAATGTACTTTCAATTTGCTGTTTTTCTGTATAATTTGTAGTCATAATTTGTATTTGCCTGAACTTCCTTATTGTTTATAAATGAGATATTGGTATGCATTGTTTCAGTGAAAAGGCAAGATTACCTGCTTGGTGTGACCGAATTCTGTGGCATGGAGAAGGAATTGCACAACTGGTGTACCGGTCACATCCAGCCCTGAAAATTAGCGACCATAAACCCGTTAGTGCTGTTTTCCAGGCTGGGGTAAGTTCTGAAACAATACTTTTATTAATTATCTCTTTATCTCATCTCAAATAATTTATTTATTAAGCTATTTTATTTTTATTTTTGTTAGATATTTAGGTTATTTCTGGGAAGCCCCATTCACGTAGCACCTCACTACTTACACACTCAAATAGAGTGGTAGACGGTTGGAACAAGTTAAGTGAGAAGGTGGTGGAGGCCAAGACCGTCAGTAGTTTCAAAGCGTTATATGACAAAGAGTGCTGGGAAGACGGGACACCACGAGCGTAGCTCTCATCCTGTAACTACACTTAGGTAATTACACTTAGGTAATTACACACAAAGAACATTGTGAGAGGAGCATATGCTATTCTTTTCAAATTTAGAATTGCTTTTAAATACTGTACATGGATGGTGAAATATTAAAGACATTGTTGATGACATTTGTAAGTTCAAAATTGGAATATGCAGCAGTTGCATGCCCAATTGCCCATATCTCATGAAGAACATCAATAAATTGAAAAAGGTACAAAGACATGGTACTAAATAGCTTCTGGGGAAAAAAAAAACTAGGAGGAGAGATTAGAGGCATGAAATATACCAAAGCTAGAAAATAGAAAAAAAAGGTAACATGATTACAGTACTATGTAAAAAATAGTAACAGGAATCGGCAAAATTGACAAAGAAGAACTTCTGGAGACTGCAACTTCAAGAATAAGAGGACATAGATTCAGACTGAGGAAACAAAGCTGTCAAAAAAACATTTGAAATTCACTTTTGCAAACAAAAGTAGTACAGTGGAACCTCTATTAACGAGTGGCTCTATTAACGAGTTTTTCCAGTAACGAGCAAGCCACTCGCAGCAAATTTGTCTCTATTGACGAGCTCGCCTCTATTAACGAGTGAAACCACATGGCGCTTCCTAGTGTCTCGCGGGTTCTCGCAAATTCTCGGACGCCTCCGACGCCAGTGTTGTTGTTGTATCTCTCACGACAAGCATCCCTCTGGATTTATTTGAGCTTTTCTTTGGGTTTTAGTGGTTTTGCGACTACAATTTGTAACACACGATGTCTCCAAAGAAGCTGCTTGCTAAAGATAGTGTTTTCAAGAGGAAGAAAGACACAATTATTATGGATTTCAAGAAGGAAATTATAGCAAAGCATGAGTGTGGTGTCTGTGTGATTGATCTCACAAGGAAGTATGGCAGGTCCTCATCAACAATTTACACCATTAGTAAGGGAATGAGGAGGTAAGGGAGGATGCTGCCTCTTCCACTGAGATCAGGGAAGTGTTTGGAATGTTTGAAAAGGTGAACGCATTCTTGGAAAAGCTGCCCTGTTAAAGCAGTGACAACCCAGTGTGTGAAAATGTTTAATTAATTTATCACTTTGTGATAACACTTTATGAAAGTGTTATCACTTTCGCAGGTATATGTCGCTTGAACGTAACACACTTTTTTTCTCTTGAATGCACCCAAACACCGTGCTCAAGCATCATTTGAGCAAATATTTCTATAAAATCCAATACTTATCCGATCGACTTGGGGATTGTATACATGTTTGCCATGAAATTTCCGTTTTCTTTAATAACCACATTGCCTATTTGAGAAAACGGCATTGTATTGTATCTTCGTGGTAAGACTATTATATTGTTGACACAACGAGTGTAATCAACGTAGTTTTTTTATTTGGTGCTGGTCTAACGCATCCTTGTGTGACATTTGAAATGAAATTTGGGTGAAATTCCCAAGAAGAGAGAGTCCGCCTGACTCAGAGGTGAATTCTCCTTCCACACCATAACCCCTCTCCTCCTTCCCACCTCTCCATCGTCTCCCTCAAGCCAGCAACTACTCTTCATAAGGTAAAGTAAATATTAAAACACTACAACAAAACATTTATATTTACATGTGCAGTATTATATTTACATAAAAAAAAGTCATACAAGTATGGATGTTTTTGGGAGTGGAACGGATTAAATTTATTTCCTTTATTTTAAATGGGGAAATTTGTTTCCAAAGACGAGTTTTCCAGGTAACGAGCTCGGTGCCAGAACGGATTAAACTCGTTAATAGAGGTTCTACTGTAAATGGGTGGAACAAGTGAGGTGGGGGCGGATGCCAAAACTGCCAGGAGTGTCACTGTGTCATATAACAAAGGGTACTGGGAAAACAGGACACCACAAGTGTTGCTTTCATCCAGTAACTACAGTATACTTGGGTAATTACACTGGTACTGCTGTACTTATGGATCATGCCAGGCCTCTGCTGATATCTCTTACCTCTATATTAACCACTTAACTGTGCCAACCGAGTATTCTCGGTCGGTGGGAAACTGCGCCAATGGAGAAAACTATTTTTTATTTTTTCGAATCCACTCTAAATGTGTGCGTGGTTAGTTGTGTACGAAATGGATTCTTAGGATCTCCAGTGAGAGGCAGCCATCTTGGAAAAAATTCCCAGAATGCCCTAGGGCCGCAAAGATAAGGCTCTGTCGGTGAAATTCAAACCTTATTGTTTGAAGAACATAAGGGTCATAATATTGGTGAAGCTAGGCGCAATAAGGACCTAACACAAAGGTCGGATGCAAGTGATACAGCACCTATGAGGACGATACAGTGAGCGTATCCAGTTGTAGCTCTGAGCGTCACCCTTGCAATCCTATGCTATCTCCAATTTATTTAGATGATACATAGATGAATCGTTTTCTGCGTTCAGTGATGATGCATCTGATACAAGTAGCATAGATGAACGGTGTTAGCGGCTTCCATGGTGGTGTTTTCCATAGATATTTTCAAGAATACCTGAATCTCTTCCTGACTGACGGACACTCTTTGAGGCAAGCCGAATCTCTTCCTGTGTGGGACCATACAAAGCGATCTTTTCAAGACTACCTTACAAATTGATCTTTTCCTATAATCTTTTCAATACTACCTTATGCTTTACAAGCTTGGCTTCATACAACTTACAAGTACTAAACCCAAGGATGTACATGAGAGTGTTATTTGCAAGCACACAGCATGAAGAAACAGGAAGTGAAAATTTATCTGTACCTGGTACAACGAGAACGAAGTCGTGCTGTGCACCATGGACTACTTCGTTGATTATTACTCACTTCCGAAGTACTGAGTGTGTAATAGAGTGTGTTACTGTGTAAATAGTGTGTGAAACTTTACATATTGTAATTTTAGTGAATTTTTAACAAGTAATATTGCGACAATAAACATTTATTGTGGACACATTACTGACACATGTATCACAGTTCCATGGAACATTAGGAACGTTCTACTGTATACATATAGAGAGGCAATTAGTGTGTTAAATATTAAAAACAGTATTATTTATCTCTTTCTTAGAGAGAGAGAGAGAGAGACAGGTATTATTATTCCCTGTCACACTCAGGTAATGCTAAATGTTTTGTTTTGTTCTTTTATTCAATTTTAGATAAAGGTGATTGACACACGGCGATATCGACGTATCTACGAGGAAGTGATGAAAAAGCTTGATAAGCTCGAAAATGAATTCTTACCTCAAGTAACCATTGACACCACAGAGATTATCTTAGAACCTGTGAAATTTCTTCAGCCACAGACCAAATACCTCACAATTGCAAATACTGGACAGGTATGTAGAAAATAGTGTATCTACAGTATTGGAGTGTTACTGTGAGTTTTACTGTTTCAACTGGAGTTTCTAATATAAAAGAATTGAGTATTTACTTAATACCTTAGACATAATAACACTGGCTTAACCTTGGGATAGCAATTTAAAATATACAAAATTAGAATTTATGGAATTATCAATCATTAATTATAATCAAAATGGTGTAGGTGTGGCAATAAGTATGGTAACTGCAATATGGTAGTTACAGATATTAAATGAAAACCTCTTAATTTATGTCAGCATATTCAGTAAGGTAAAAAAAATACATTACAGTATAGTACTTAGCATTAAAAAAAAAAAGTTTGATGTTTTAGAAGTTTTTAACTTAGCTTTCAAGGAGAGTAGTATATGTAATGTCTTAATAATCCTTGTGCTTTTCCACTATTCCAAGCACAGATTGGTAATCTAAAACCACTCGCTGTATCTCGCTAGCGCGTGTAATAAATTTAAGGACCATATACACAGTGCACAGTTACAAACCCATTGAGATTTTAACTTAGATTGAACAGAGCAGAAGAAGTTGTTAAACACATATGGCAAAATCTTACTGATGCGACCATACGAGTCATAAATATTCATACTCCGCCCAAGTCAAACAGAAACAAGCAACACTTAGTGGGCCAGCCAGAGGTTTAGCGCCCGCGCAGGAATATCCCTGCAAAAAAATAAAAAAAATAAAATAAAAAGGACCATATATTTCTTCTCCAAGAATTTGAATAATCATAAAGATTTCATCTCTAGAATTTACAAATTTGCCAAAAATATCTTGGGTAAACTGCATTTGATTTTCATCATACGAGAGAGCAAATCGTCGATTAACATTCTGGTACCCAAATTATGAATTTAAATCCTTTCTTTGTGGAAGAAAATTTGAAATGTTTAGAAAGATATCCCTTGCATCTCGAACCGGGTGAATTGTCAACACTTGCATCCACATATCCATCATTTTGTTAAAACATTCACAGAAAATTTGTTTTTATGGCATCTACATTTTCTTTACATTATACGAAAGATGAATAATCCATGAATATTTCTGCACTAAATTTATTTATGGGAGAAAATATGAAATATTTAGACAAATTTCCATATCTTAACCAGTGTGAAGCATCTATAACCATCTCCAATATTCTGTTAAAATATTTGCAGAAAAAAATATATATTCATAATCTGCAATTGCCTTAGTGCATATTAGAGAGGACTTATTGGTGATGATTTAAATATCAGACTTACAAATTCATGAAAAAGGCATTTATATTAGGCAATAAACCAATCATTGGTAATCATTTTTGTATGAAAATTATAAATTTAATGAATTTCTTTATTTAAATACTTAAAATGATTATGAAGATTTAGCATATATATATATATATATATATATATATATATATATATATATATATATATATATATATATATATATATATATATATATATATATATATATATATATATATATATATATATATATATAATATATATATATATATATATATATATATATATATATATATATATATATATATATATATATATATATATATATATATATATATATATATAGTAATATATAGTAATATATAGTATATATATATATATATATATATATATATATATAGTAATATATAGTATATATATATATATATATATATATATATATATATATATATATATATATATATATATATATATATATTATATTTATATTATTCTGACCCACTGCTTGAAGCTACACTGGCCACTTTATTCTTATGTGAATGAATCATCGTGCTTGCAATAATTATTTGTTGTACTGAACCGTTTTGTCTGGGTTACAGTGTGTTCATACCAGAAGTGAATTTTGTAGGAGTGTAGTTCATTCCAGTGGGGTCCCACTACAGTATGTTGAGGATTTTGTTTTTTAATTTCGAACTCACAAACTGGACCCTGGAAACACAAACCGAAACTCTCTCTATTTTCCGCTTGTTACAACTTGTAATAAAGTTGTTACATCTTGGCTTAACGTGTTTATGACGTATCAGAACGTTGTTACAAATTGCTATATTGGTTGTTATAACTGGTTAGGTGTTAAAACTTGTTCGGACGTCGTACCAACGTCGTAGTTTCGGTGTGTGTTTGGCGGGGAAGGCCTTTGTAAATGACAAGATACAAAAATCAACAAAGTGTGCACTACAGGAACAGAGAAGAGAGTATGTCAGATGGATGCAAGCCTAAAAATGTTTCAGTAAGAGTTATTGTCGTATTTCTCCGAAACCTGCCTCTCTAGTTTAACCATTCAGTCATTTCATGTGTGGTATTTTAATTCAAATTTTTAGTCCTTCAATTATTTATGTAAATATTTAAAACTAGCTTTTCTCTCCAATATTTACAGGTACCTGTGCAGTTTGAGTTTATTAAAAAGTTAAATGATACTAGTTTCTGCAAGTCATGGCTTTCTATTAGACCATATGTGAATTTCATCATGCCAGGTAAGTGTTATGATGTGTAGTAAAGACTGCAAGATTTAATGATAGCTAATTTTGTCTGATTAGTGTTTTAAACTCAAATTGGACAAATTGTTTAACCCTTAAAGGACGCAAAACATGCATATATGATTGGATTAACTGTCACGGAATGGTGCAAATCATATATGATTTGCATATTTCATCATATATAATTTGCATATTTAAAATATTTAAAATAGTCCTGCACATGCATAAAGCTCACATTTGCTTCCTCAGGCCACCAGTAACCATCCCCCATCTTGAAAAAATGTCCTGAGTCCTTCACTTTCCTTCTAGCGGCTTTAGTAAGAAAATGATGGCCATTGCTTGGCAACATCATCATCCAGTGTCTGAACGTTTAGGGCAGCCATAGAGGAGACACTAAACTTTTAGCAACAGCAAATGAGTGATTATCATGTAAATATTTGAGGCAAAATGTATATATAATATATATACATATATTATTATGAATAAGTATGTGCGTCTGTGCTGTATATCTATACTCGTATATCCATTCATACTTATATTTTCAAAGTTATACATAATAGACAGTACCTTTGACATACAAATACAACCTGTTAGCATGAAAAAACTATATAAAGTAACTGAGAAACAATGAAAGTAAATCAACAAAGTTATTCCTATATGGCACCTCAACTCATTTTAGCTATAAATGTGCCACTTCTCCAGGCCACAACAGCTGAACAACAAGAGATAGAGACTTTTTATTTGGATTCTTGTGCTTCCTGAAGGCTAATTATAATTAACACTATCATAAGAAAAAAAAAATTTTCAGCACAATTTTTTCTTGAACACACTGGAGATGTCAGCTTTTAATAGTTAGCAGTTTAAGGGTTAAACTGGTAATTAAAATGATTACAATTTAAAGAAATTACATCTTCCTTACTACCACAATTTTCATTTCCATAGGATAAGGAGGCAACAGCATGGATGCAAATAGAAGATTAATGTAAGGTCTTATAAAATCCAGTGTTGAAAGTTATGAAACATCTGTTTCTGGTTGCTTCCTCGGTGGCACCCCGAACTGCCTACCTGGGAACCCTCAAACCTTGGGTCCGGAGAGAAGGAGAGTTCGAGGGTAGTAGACTACCACAGTAATCTTAATGAAAAACCACCAGAAAGGTAGAATGCAGCAAAACAAGCAACTACAAGGAAAATATTGGCATTTCTGACATAAACAATGCACACTCTTCTTACCTAGGAAGAACTGCTAGTTAGTAACAATTACTTACCACCAGATAGCAGCCCTGACCATCTGTAGATACTGATTAGCTAATCTAGTCAAGCACATGCCTCTTAAGCAATGGATCCTGAATACTGTGGAATGGAGGGAAGGGCAGGAATGGGGAGCTACTGAGGGACCCACCTGGAAAGTTTCATTACATTTAACACTGAATTTCTGGGAGGGCTTCCTTCAATGACTTCTTGAGCTAACTCCCCATGGACAGTAAACACACTGAGGCTTAACATGTAAGGAAGGGAGGGAGGCAATGCCAATAATCTTGCAGGGATCAGCATCAACAGGGGTCTGTGCCTGCTAATTCCAGACATCGAAAGGGCCTTGCTCAGAGAAACCGATACAGCTCTCACAATCAAACCCAACCCAGTGGATATGCCACACAGACAAAATTTAGGTCGTAAATGAGATACCAATGAGAAATCCAAGGGATCCAACCACCACAAAATAGAGAAGATAATCTGACCAAGTGAAAGCTGTTGGAGACAAGGAAAGGAAAGTTGACTGGGTGTTTCAGACCAAGCCTAGCCATGTCTGGACTTGACACAACACCAACTGGGACTTCCACCAGTTCCCTGGTTTATGGACTAGCCATCTATTAAGGTAGATCTAGATGCAGATACACATAAGATGAAGGTGATAAACTATGACCAGAATCATTCTGGTAAATGTCCTGGGTGCCAGGTTCAGACCAAAGGGTGGAAAATGAATGCAGTAACCAAGGTGCTCCATGAGAAACCCTAGACAATTCATTAACCCCAAATGATTTGAGGTGTGCTATTATTCATCCCAGAGGTTCAGGGACAACCACCAACAAGAACTTGACAAAAAGGGGTTGTGTGGAATGTCGGGCAGAAGATTAACTCGCTCAGATTTGAAAGGTTGAGTATGAACTGAGACTTTGGTAAGTCCTGTTGGGCAACCAAGAACACCAAGACACTCACTACAGGGAGAAAAATACCAATCATTTCTCTCTAACTTGCAAAGGAGCAGAGTAGTCGGTTGAGCCTGCACCCAACATATGGAAGGGGGTTGGGGTCAAAAACTACACCAACTGTAGGCCCCAGGATCCACTCGATACATTCAGGCATCATGAGTCCAGGCCTGAGGAGAAGTGTGCAGCGGGCTTCCTCTATAGAAGAAATTTCACTTAATTACTTAGGCTTTTCACAGTTCTCATTTGCTTTTGTTGCCAGTATACCATTTTTGGCACAATTTAAAGAAAAACTTTGTATCTGTTAACCATCCAGCTTGTTGATTGTATAATTAGTTGTCATGTTTTAAATTTTTTTGTACTTCTATTCATTTGATAATTACTTGGTATATACAGTATACTGTATATACATTTGTCAGTTAATACAGAAAGCTGATAATAGGCCACAGAATTATTTAGTTGATAAATTTGTAATTGTTTTATGACTAATTCCATATTACAAATAATTAATACAATAGGTTTGTTCTAGTTTTACACCACTGATTGTTTGAGGTTCTCTTCACAGGTGATAAATGTGACGTTGCTCTGGAAGTATTGGTTGACAAGCGGACAGCAGCACAGCTGAACTCAGGAGCAGATAAACTCTATGATATTTTAGTGCTTCACTTGGAAGGTGGCAAAGATCTCTTTATTACTATCACTGGTAAGTTTTTTTTGTGTAGTACAAGTGAAAAAGAAACACAACACACATTACATAGCTCGTGCAGGAAACTTAAATCACTCACTTTTGTAATAATAATAATAACTGAATTATTAAAACATTTTGAGTGGATTGAAACGCCTCCCTCTATGCGGAGCACCTCAGGAGCTTTCTTAAGCCAGCTGCACTGGACCTGACCATGACTATCATTCAGAATTTTGTATACCACATATTTCAGACCAATCCTGGAGTATGCAGCTTTAGCCTGGAGTCCATACATAGTTAAACACAAAACAAAGATTCAGAGCTATGCCACCAGACTAGTTCCAGAGCTGAGAGCTATGAGTTCTAAGCAAATGTTAAGGGAATTAACCCTCATGTCCCTGGAAGACAGAAGAGTTGGGGAAGACACGATCATCACCTACATAATTCTCAAAGGAATTGACCGGTTGGACAAAGACAAACTATTTAGCATGGGTGGAACAGAAACAAGGGGACACAGGTGTGTCAAACAAAGGGACACACTTCCTTACAGAGATACGACAAAAATAAAATTTTTTTTTACTGTTCTTGACTTTGTTTTTACACTAGTATGACCCAGAAGGTTGTTGACCTGACCTGACTGAGCATAGACCTGTCATGGAACAAGAAAATTCTTTCCTTATGAAGTTTCTAGGTAACTTGATCAGAAAAGTGTTTTTCATTTGACTAGTACTGATATTTCATGACAACGTGCAGGAAATATTACATAGCTTCTCTTGGGGGTCAAAAAACTACACCAACTGAAGGCCCCAGGATCCACTCGATACATCATGAGTCCAGGCCTGAGGGGAAGTGTGCAGCAGGCTCCCTCTATAGAAGAAATTTCAGTTTCTTCTTTGTTAGTCTTTATTTGCTTCTTTCCACAGGTGACTATGAGCGAAGTTGTTTTGGATCCTCCATCAATGCACTAGTTCACATGAATAAGCCTTTCAAGGAAGTTCCTATGGCTAAATTAATTGATCTGGTAAGTCAATTAAACCTTGATTCATATATATTTTGATATTAAATGTCTTGTAAAATTACAAACTGTTCCTTGCATTCTTTCATGGAGGGGCTCCCTCAATGGCTCACCAGGTTTGATAGCTCATCAAACTTCCACACAAACTTTTCCTTTGTCAAACATATTCACACCAGGCTCTGTTGACTCTTGAGCACGACATATGCTAGACTGACCAGTATCCTTGTAGCCTTCAAGAATTTGGATAAAGGAACATTCCAAGTCCTGTATACAACCTTGTGAGATCCATTCTTGAGTATACAACCCCCACATGGAAACCCCCTACTTTAAAAATGCACAGATCAAAATAACGAAAAGGAAATAATTACAAGTAACTCTTGAGTTACTGTACCTGAATTACTCAGGACTCAACCAGTGTTTTAAATTGGATACATTTCAATCAAAATCCTCATAAATCATTGTCTTATTTCCTGGACATTTATCATCACATCTGAGCCAGTTTATTGATCATGTAATCTGAGTGAGATTACTCTGTAACTTTATTGAGAATAAGTAACCTCATAATGAATGTGAGAGCTATTACAAAATCTGTATGTTTTCGAAATTTGAATAGCCAAGAACTGGATAATCAAAGAGTTACTGGTATTGAAAGTTATTTGAATTAAACAAAAAGTTGAAGTTGCAGCTTGAGTGTTTCAATTGAAGTAGCAGCAGTGTTGCACCAAGGTCTTTCTTGGTTGTCAATGTCCTCAGACACAATTGTTTTTTCCTAAATTGTTAAAATATTAATTTCACTAATGAGGAATATATTTAAATGATTTTATGTAGGTAAGTTTGAATTTATTATTTTTCTATAATTTATTCATATTCTTTAATTTATTTTTTTCTCTACCTTCTCACCCTCATAGCCTCTACCTGAGCAGGTAAATAAATGTGGTTCTCTTTCCACATCTTGATTTTCTCTTCTGAGTGCTTCAGTATTTTGCCTAATGGTCATATTTTACTCTGTTTTAAATGTGGAAAATGTAATTTCAACATAAGTGTGGGTGATAATGATGTGTAGGCAATTATAATGATGGAAATGATTGTATCTGATGATGGTGGGTGGGGGGGGGCAATCCCTCAAAGAGGATGGGAAGAGTAATAAAGGTGAAGAGTCGACCTGTTATCCAACCATTCTTTGGAGTAGAAGATGACTATGACTTCAATATCAGCTCGAAGATTGGTGTCTGTGTATCAGGATGGATATTGACACTAGCCTGGGTCCAGAAGGCTCACCCACATATTGTGCACCCACATATTGTGCAGCACCCCACCCACATAGTGAGTGGGGTGCTGCTGTAGTGGCGGAGGTTGCTGTACCTTTGTATGTGGCGCGTTTTCTCTGGGCCTCTGCAGTGCATCTATTCTCTGCCTCATGGGCCCCTGTGATGACCTTGCTTTGCCAAATTGGGCAGTTTTTAGCAAGCAACTTCCAAGTGTTAGGGGTTGATGTCCAGGCCTTTGAGAGTCCCCTTCAAGCAGTCCTTGAATTGTTTCTTCTGCCTCCAAACTGAATGCGTGCCCTGACTTAATTCTACATACAGCAGCTGTTTTGGCAATTGGCTGTCAGGCATTCTAACAACATGACCTCCCCATCCAGCCTGAGTGTTCTGTGGTAGAGTGCAGACTGCCAATACTGGCCCATTCCAGGAACTCCGTGTCCCGGATTTTGTATTGCCATCTATAGGATACTATATATATACTGTATATAAGATTATACTGGATATTTATAGGTATTAACAGTACCTATATATACTATGGATGGCAGTACAAAAATTTCACTCATGCATCCATAAAAAAGCAGCTTTGAATGTAATGAAATGCCACTTTCTGTATGGCCTCGGTAGCTCCTTGTATGTTGCTAGCTGCACTGAAATAGCACCATGTGAATCATATCATGGATCAGGACAGACTGAAACGTTGCCATTTCTTAATGTTCTGATGTGTGGCTTGTTCATCATCCCTAGGATCCTTGAAAGTCTACTGGAGACCAGAGGGTAAATCCTGCCTTCCTCACAGAGGTGCAGGGAATCTAAAGCTCACCCTTGCTGAAGAAATGCCCAGACAGGAAGCAAAGTAAAACAGATAACTACAAGGCTCACAGAGAAAAAATAAATTAAGCAGCAAACAACCCACACAGTAATTAAATCCATCCATAGTTACAGCTACCCACCACCAGGAGCTACTGGCTCCCAGTGTCAACAACCCTTGGTTCTGAGCCTAAGACAATACAGTGGTACCTCAGCTTACAAATTTAATCCGTTCCCAGAGACGGCTCGTAACCCAAAAATTCGTAAACTGAATTGAATTTCCCCATAAGAAATAATGGAAAATGAATTAATCTGTTCCAGACTCCCCAAAAAATTAACTTCAAAGTAAATTTTATACCTAATTCACCCAAATCTTCAGTAAAAAAGTATGTACAAGTTATTACTTACCTTTACTGATGACTCCTGTTGGCGTATGGAAGACGGTGAGGAGGGGAGGAGGAGAGGTTTTACTGTTTGGAAGGGGAGTCCCCTTCCATTATAACATCAGGCAGTGATGACTTCTCTGGGGTACACTCTCTGGCATGTTTTGCCTGCATACCACTAGGACCTGCTTGTGGCTCACTGCTTTATTTTCTCACTAGAAATCGTTCCATTGAAGATTGTTTTTTCCTTATTTGTAACATGTATCTGTAGTGAGACATTACATTGTCATTAATAAGATCAATGCAATGGACTGCTAAAGCTTTATCTGGGTGATTGTTTTCAGCAAAACTTTGCAGTTCTTCCCATATTGCACACATTTTCTTAATTAATGAGAAAAGGGACATCCTCTACTGCCTCCTCCTTCCCCCTGAAGATTTGTTGTACTGCCTAGCTAGTTCAACAACCCCTGTACCATTTTCATGTTTACGAATGATCTCTTGTTTTTCTTCTATGGTCATTCTCACATGTGTTTTCTTGGCTTGAACCTTACCACTGGCTTTCTTGGGACCCATGGCAAGTTATATAATAACAAATTTTATGTTCAAATAGCCAAAAATCCCAAAAAACTGTAACTCTTTGCAAAGAACTCAGGCGCGATAGTCACTAGGTGGGAGGCACTGGTAAACTGAGGCGCGATCGCCGTGCCACCACGCACTAGGTTGGCCCATACGCGTATCAACAAACTCGTTTCCCGAGGCAAAGTTTGTAACTCGATTCAAATTTTCCAAAGAAATTGGGCTCGTAACCCGAAAAGTTCGTAAAGAGGGGCATTCGTAAGCTGAGGTGTCACTGTAAAGGTAAGCCTCCCAAAACAAACCCCTATTCTGGTGAAAATTACTACAGAAAGCTAACAAGTGGACAGAACTCCCGAAGTGAAAAACGAGCAAACGAGCATGATGTCACACTTGCCACACCACTTGTCTGCGCAGCTCCCCCCTCCCTGGGAGGGGGAAGAGGGAGCCCCAGACCCCTCGCGCCAACTATCCACCTGTCAGTTCTCGGCTGATGTGATGAGGCTCAGTCGTGTGGCTCCAGCTCCTGATTCTCTCTGTGTTGTGCTGTGCCTTTTGTCCAGTACTGTTCTTACGGTGGCGTGTGAGCTGGGAGCAATATTCACAGGTACTTGGCTGCATGTGCTTAGGATTCCCTTCCTCGAGTGGCCTGTAAGTACTGCCCTTGGGGCTTGGGGTCATCTTCCACAAGTCACCTTGGAGCTTACCTCTGGTCTTTTGCTGCTCGGTAATTGACCGCCCTGGGAGTGTTTGGGGGTTTCCTCCTCCCTTGTTTACCTTGGGTTAAGTAGTAGTTTTTGCACTGGTAGGGGCACGGTGGACTGTGCAGTTAGTTTTCACCTATTACAGTGACCGGCTCTGTTCCTTCTGGGTACGTTGTCCTCTTGCGGGGGTTTTCTTTTCATTTGTGTTTGTGCCTGGTGGGGGGGTCTTCTTTTGTTCCCCTACCCCCTGTTATTTTAGAGTCTTGACCTCCTGTATTTGACCTCTGCACCCCTCTCGTTCTTCCCCTGCTGGGGTTCATTCTGTTCCCCTTCCCCCTTGCTTCTGGCTCCGAAGCGTCTGAGGGCTTCGGGGTCGGGGTGGGATTTAGAGGATTCTGAGACACGAACGGTTTCGAGGGTTGCCCCTTCCGGGGTGGCGACGGAGGCATTTGAGTCAGTTCCTCCAGTCATGGCGACGGGGTCTGACCAGTCGGCCCCCTTTCTTCCTGCTTTTCCGGCAGCCCCGGCTTTTTCTTTTGAGGCCGGGGCTTAGGAGGATGACTCATCCCCATGGCCTGATGTGGAGGTTCCCAGGGTTGGGGAGGGGGCTGACTTGGAGGCCTTATGCCCCGCTAGACCCCGTCTGGGTTTTCCAACACTCGGAGCATTGCTTTTTGTTTCAAGGAGTAGGGTTTTCCTTTCCTCCTTCTGTGTACGAGTTGGATTTGGCCCCTCCCCGGGTTCAGTTCTGTATCCCTTTGGGTCCTTAGGTTGCATCCATCCGGAGGTTTTCGGCTTTCCGCGTCTCGCCTACTGAGGTGCGGGTGGCCATTACAGCTTACCTCCTGTGCAACCCGGAATTTGCCTCTATAATGAATCCGTTATCCTTCAGGTTTGGGTCTTCGTCTCCATACTGGGTTTGTTATGAGGTTCTGGAGTCGTCCTGACTTGCGGATTGCATGTTGTTGTCGTTGGAGTACCCAGTACTTTCTTTTGTACCCGCATACTTGAGTGGCGCAAGACGTTGACGGTGGTCCAGATTTATCTGGGGGGCGACTTCGAGCACCTCAATGCGTGTTTGTTCAACCCTGCCCTTCTGCGAGATGTTAGCAAGGTTCAGCTTCAGGTGCAGGTTCCCTCCCTGTTGACTGCCCTTGTGGCTGAGGACTTGCGCGCTCGTGGCTTGCTGGCTTTGATCTTGCATTTCTTTTCACTCCTGGAGCTGTCTTCAGATTGGTTTGTGGAGGATGTAGAGGCCCTTGGGGCCATTCCTGGGTTTGGTGCCTTGGTCTCGGCAGCTCGTGCATCGTCTGCGCTGCTGAAGCTGTTTGCGCCGATCTGCAGGATGCGGTGTCACAGTTTTTCGCTGCGCATCTCATGTGTTGGCAGGTTGTGCTCACTTCCTCTTTGGAATCTGCTTGGGCCCTGGCTCTTAGATTGTCTTCATCTTTTTGTCCTTTGCTGTTTACAGAGTCTGCGTTTGGACAGTTTTTGTAGGCGACCTCGGTTAGTTGTCGTTCGATGTCGGACTTGTTGGTTCTTCAAGGGTCATGCCAGTGCTCGGGGTTCTGCTTATCATGGTAGTCCACAGGTGCCAGTTTCAGAGCTGGCGCCGCCTTCGGAACCATCTGTGTCTGGTCGGCGCGGCGATCGTTCTGTGCGCAGGTCAGGTTCTCATAAGGGGCGTCAGCCCTTTTGCAGTTTGCCCCATTGATGGGATGATGGGGCAAACCTCCGGCCAGCTCATGCTCTTCCTGCATTGTCTAGGTCTATCGGAAGGGCAGTGGTTTTCTCTCCTCCCCTCAGTTCTCAGTTGACTCTTCAGTCAATATGTTCTTCAAGGCTGTTTTTGTTAGCTCTTGCCTCCGATTGTCAAGTGAGGGAGCTCATTGCTCTCCTCTGAAAGCATTGGTTCTGTTCTTTCAACCCTGGTGGGCAGATTATTTGTTGGCAGCCTTCTCCTTTTCTGACAAAGTATGAGACAGTTGGCTTATGGAGGTGTCCTTTGGTTGTTGATGCTTGGTTAGTTTGACACAACATACATCGTTTGTTGTGTCTGGTTGCAGCGATGTTGTTGTTGTTGTTACCTGCGCACCACTCGCACTTTAGTGGATGCTTTGTTTGTTGTTCATGTTTCCTTGGTTCGTTGTCCCAAGGCTCAGTTGTTATGGGGTTGTTTACAGTGTCTTATAAGCCTAGCCATCCTGATCTCTACCTTTGGGCCTGAGATGTTTGCAAGTTTGAGGCTTTGTTGTCAGTGTATTCAAATGTGTCATGGGTTGATATTAAGAGCTCAGTGGTTTGGAGGTCCGACAGGGTCCTGGTTGCTTGTTACCCGGTTAATGTACCTGGTCCCTGTTGGACTTATGTTGCCCTGGGTCAAATTTCCCATACTTCTTGAGCGCAGTTTTTCCTCACCTCCCCTGGTAAGTGCCATTTCTTCCCTTCTGGGGTTGATTAATTTCATGGAGCCACCATTTGGACCCCTGCAGAAAACCAGCATTAAATGAGGGTTGAGCCTCAGTGGCTCATGTTGAGAGGTAAATAAACTAATTCTGGGTATGATTAGCTTAGCAGGAGTTTCTTTAATTGATGAATGGTTCTACAAACTGAGTTGAATAAGTAAATGTGCTTTTTAATTATATATATCAGATGAAAACCTATAAATTTTTGCTAGTTTGCAATTGACTCTTCATGTATATTTTAATCGCATTTCTTCAGGAAAGTAAGCAGCCTAAGGACCTAAGTGAGATGCCGTATGCTGTGCCCAAAGAATTATGGTATTTGGTTGATCATCTCCACTCACACGCCCTACAAGTGGAGGGGCTCTTCACTTACCGTGGTCTCCTGAAGGAGATTGTTGAAATAAGGTATTATGACATCCATTATGTTATATATTTTACATGTATAGTTCTTCATTTAATTTTTAGTTGGATATTGTTTAAACATTTTGGATTAGCATTTAGTGTTTTTATTCACAAGGCTTAATCTTTCTTCAGTCTTTATAGCAAAATTTTATCATTGTTTACTTACTCCCCTTATATACATATATATTTACAACTTACACTTATTGTAATATTTGTGTAAAATTAGGTATTGCAGGCAGAACACTTTGAATTAAAAAACTTAGGAATAGCGGAAAGTGCGGAAGGTTTGTTTGCCCATGTGAAGGAACTTCTATTGTCTCCAACTAAAGTCTTTCATATGTATTTCTAGCTTTTGTTTGGAATGACAACTGTCATTCAACTGATACAACTGTATCAGACAACTGTCCATCACATCTCTTTAGTACAGATTTGTTTTCTGGATAGAAATAAATACAAACATTTTTGAATTTACATAAGATAATCATACTAATATCTCTTATATACTTTAAAGTTTCACTATACTGCACTGTAATTTGTTTGTGAGACGTATCATCAAAATTAGATGTGAGGTGCAGAAAAAATGCAACATAAACCAAAAATGTGTGGAACTAGTTCCAAGCAAATGGTAGACTAAGGCATCATCACAACAATACACACTGGTGATGCCATCTACTGGCTGTAGGATGAATACTTTTGTGCTGAGGGGATTTGTCCTGGACCACACCGCCCAAAACATATCAGTTCTCTGCCAGAAAATGCTATTGACTTTTTGTGTTTCTTTCTCAGGACTAGTTTGGATGAAGGTGTCCCCAACGATCTGCTACCAGGTAGTGTTCATTCTGTAGCAGAGGCTCTGTTACTGTTCCTGGAGGCACTACCAGAACCTGTCATCCCTTACAACCTTTATCAAGCTGCATTGGATGCAACACCAAACTTTTCTTTGTGCAAAGATGTAAGAATACAGTATATTGTTTTTAACATTTACAATCTATATCTATATATGGAAATGCTTGTCTGTCTGAGTTTGGAGGCCAGATGCTTCACCAAGTTTTTTCCAGTAATTGCTGTTGGGTATGTGGATAACATAGGCAGGTTAAGGTTGGTGTCAAAAGAAAACCGTGCCAAATGAAACTGTCAAAGTCACCCCAACAAGAAATCTCACAGTACTCTATTGAATTATTATTATTATTATTATTATTATTATTATTATTATTATTATTATTTGTATTTAATGTATTTCTGTGGGGAGCTCCTTTGACTCCCCAGAGCTAACTGGACTGATATAAATGTACATATTAGACCCTGGCATCAGTCAATGCGCATGGAGTTCTAGGCCTACCGGGGACCACGAGCCAGAACTTTTGCTCCCTCAGAGAGGCATGAGGAGCAATGGCCTTTAGAAACCCCCATGTGGTTAGAAGCATTTTATATCTGCCATCGACTGAATCAGGCACCCAGAAAGGTGAGTGCCCCAAAACAAACCCCCTATTCTGGTTAAAATATTGCTACTGAAAACTGAACCAGTGGACAGAATTCCCCAAATGAAAACGTGTAAACGAGCATGACGTCACCACGTCTCCATTCCGCTGTCTGTGCAACCCCCCTTCCCAGGAGGGGGGAAGTGGGAACCCTAGTCCCCCGCACCGGCTATCCACCCTGCAGTTCTGTGGCTGATGTGAACGGGCCAGGTCATGCGACTCTGGCTCCTGTTTTTCCAGTTTTGTGTCTTGTGGTGTGGTCCTGTCTAAGTGGTTGTGTGCGAGCCAACAGTACTCGGGCTGCATGTGCCTAGGGTCCCCCTCTCCCCTGGGTGCCCTATAAGTATTGCCCTTGGGGCTTGGGGCCACCTTCCACAAGTCACCTTGGGGTCTACCTCCGCAAGGTCTTTTGCTGCTCGGTGATTAACCACCCTTGGAGTCAGCTGGGGTGTTTAGTGCATCATTGTTTGCCTCTGGGTAGGGGGTAGCTTCATAACTGGTTGAAGCACAGGGTACTGGGCAGCTAGTTTTCACCTCTCATAGCTGCTGGATCTGTTCCACCTAGGCACAGCAGTTTGATTGGTAACTTTGGGCGCTGGTTAGCAGTATCCTGCCTGGGGCTTTCCTTGGTGAAATTACTCGACTAAGGGCCCTGGGAAACCTTGTGGGGGGTCTTTAGTTCAATGAATGCCACCCCTGGGTTCCCTCTTGCTTCGTGCGAGTTTGAAGGTTGCTCTGTCCCCTTGTCTCAGGGTGACACTCACCAGTTGTGCCTCTGACATGCTGTCTGTTGGGTCGGTAACACCTTCGACCCGGAGTCTGGGAGTTTTGTTCCTTGTTTGTACTCCAGTACACCCAGTCCACTAATCATGATATTCGGGTACAGGCGACTTTGGGGTTGCATGCTCAGTTTAGGTTGCTGCAGCGTGCTAGGTTGGTTGCTATCTTGGATACCCAAAGACTGCCCTGTTTTGGTTATTGGGACCGGGACTTGGGGGTGTTGGTCGCTCTGACTTTGGTTCAGTCCGCGCCTCCTTGTCCTTTCCCTGCTGTTGTTTGTCCTGGTCCTTTTCCCCCTTCCTTCTGGCCCCGAAGTGTCTGAGGGTATCGGAGTCGGGGGCAGGGTTTAGTTGGTGTTGAGACTGGCAGTTTTGGGGGATGCCCCTCCCAGTATGGCGACGGAGGCATTCGAGCATGTTCCTCCAGCCGAAGCTTCTGGGTTTGACCAGTGCCCCCCCCCCCCCTTCGTTCCTACTTTTTCAGCTGCTCCGGCCTTTTCTTTTGAGGCAGGGGACTTTGTGGATGGTTCGGCCCCTGGTTTTCATGGGGGAGGTTCCTGGGGCGTGAGAGGGGTTGACTTGGGGTTCTTGGGCTCCATTGGACCCCGCTTGGGTTTTTGTACCCTACGAGCAGAGCTTAATGTTGCAGGGAGTGGGGTTTCTTTTCCTCCTTCCTCGTACAAATTGGATTTGGCGTCAATCCCTCCCTGGGTTCGGTTCTGTGCTTCCTTGGGTCCTTCAGTCCCGTCCTTCTGGAGGTTTTCGGCCTCCTGCATCCCGCCTCATGTGGTGCAGGAGGTCATTGGGGCTTACCTCCTGCGTGACCCGAATTACACCTCCATAATGGATCCTTCTTCCTTCATGTTTGAATATTCTTTTCTTTACTGGGTTCGTTATGAGGTTCCGGAGTTGTCCTGGCTTGTGGACTGCCCCTTTTTCTTGATGGAGGCGTAGCATACATTCTGTCGACCCCTGTGCTTGAGTGGCGCGAGGCTCATACGGTGGTCCAGGTTTTTTGGCTGCCCTGGTCCCTGAGGCTTGCGCGCTTGTGGTCTGTTGGCATTGCTCTTGCGGTTCTTTTCCCCTCTTGAGCTGTCCTCAGACTGGCTTGAGGAGGACGTGGAGGTGCTTTGGGCCAATTCTGGGTGTGGTGCGTTGGTCTGGGTGGTGTGTGCGTCGTCTGCTCGTTTGAAGCTGTTTGTGCCAATCCTGCAGGATGTGGTGTCGCTGTTTTTTGCTTCCAGTTTCGTGTTTCGGCAGGCGGGGCTTACTACCTCCATGGAATCCGCTTGGGCCCTGGCTTATGGGGTTCGGGTGCTCTAGGGCGCCTGACAGCTGAATGAACAGCGCTTCAGATTCGTAGTCCTGAGGTTCCGGGTTTGATCACCAGTGGAGGCGGAGACAAGGGGCAAAAAGTTTCTTTCACCCTGATGCTCCTGTTACCTAGCAGTAAATAGGTACCTGGGAGTTAGACAGCTGCTACGGGCTGCTTCCTGGGGGGGGTGTAACAAAGAGGAGGCCTGCTCGATGACCAGGCCGTGGGGACGCTAGACCCCGAAATCATCTCAAGATAACCTCAAGATAAGGAGATAACCATTGGGCCTTGCGTCGGTTGCTGCGTCGCCGACTTCCTCTTCGGGTTTTTGAGGTTCACTGCCTTGGCGCCTATCCGAGCCCCCAACTCGATGTGTTTAAGGATGTGTCATCTCTTGGCTGGGGCTTTGTGACCGGTGCTCAACAGGCCGGCCAGGGGCGGTGTGGTCTGTCCTTCCATTGGGCCCACAACACAGTGCAGAATTTCGCGGCGGTGTGGATGTCGTTTTGGAGGGGTTCGGGTCGCTTACGAATCGACTATCAGGCTCCATTCGAACTGCTTCCCGGTGGTTCATAGCCTGAACCGCCGAGGTTCGATGCAGTCCTTGGGTCTTTGGGGCTGGTTGTTTCGGGAGACTTGTCTGCTGAGTTCTCGAAGTTTGGCTTTCCTGGCTGTTCACATTCGGGGAGTGTCCACTGTCCTGTCCCGGTTCATTCCCCTGACCACGGAATGGATGGTCGTCGCCGACACGTTCAGTTGGCTCTGCCGGACGTATGGGACTCAGAGTTGGACTTCTTCGTATTGGTGTGGTCAAGACATCTCCCGTTGTATGTAGCACCCTTCCTTGACTGCAAAGCCATTGGGGTCAATGCCTTCAGGCAGGACTGGTTGAGATGGGGTTACCTGTACCTCTATCTCCTGGTTCCGCTGTAGTTCCAGGTCCACTTGGAGAATTACCAAGGTAGAGTTGTCCTTCTGGCCCCTTGGTGGCTGGCCCAACCTTGGTTGCAGGCGCTGCTTGCTCGGTGTCCAAACCTGAACGCAAGCTGTCTCATGCATTGTTTCACCTCTGGCCTGCTCATGCGCCTCTTGAGCCATCCTGCTCATTAGACCGGGTGTGTTCTTCTTTCTCTCTTCTCCTCCTCCTCTGTTTATGGTGGCCCCTTCGGTTCAGGATTATTTTCCAAGGCTCTCTTTCCTGTTGGCATTGGTCTCTGGGGGTCGGGTCAGGGAGCTTCATGCTCTCCTCCGGCACAGGGGATTCTGCTCTTTTGGTTCTAGAGGTAGGTTTGTTCATTTGCAGCTGTCTCCTGTTTTGGAGAAGAATGAGACTGCAGCTTTCCGGAGGGGTCCTTGGGTTGTTGATGCTTGGTTGGTTAAGCCAGGGGTGCATCATGTGTTGTGTCCAGTTGCAGCTCTCTGCCGATACCTGCGCGCCGCGGCCGGGTATCTGTGGCCGGGGATGCACTTTGGGTAGACCCAGTTTCCCTTCTTCCCTGTTCCAGGTCGTCCACATGGTTATTCGGTCTAGCCAGCCTGCAGTCTATCTTCCTGCCCACGACGTTCGTAAGTTCTGGGTCTCACCCAGAAACTGGCGTTTCATTACATTCAATGCTTTTTTTTTTTTACCTTAGACTTTATGGATTTTGTGTTGATGAAATGACTGTGGGAAGTGTTCTTATAGTGTTATAGATTAGTGAGAGTGTAGGAGATAAAGAAGAGGAAGGGGAAGAGGGGGTTGAGGGGGATGAGGAGGAGAAAAGAGGAGAGAGGGCTGTATAGGATAAAGAGGGAGAGAGGAGGGATGAGAGGGAAGATACGGAGTGGAGAAAGAGGTTGGGAGAGAGGAAAAGGGGAAAGCGACAGACTTGGGCACTGCAATGTTCCCCCTTTTCTAGTCGTAATATAAATATACAGTATTGTGATCATGTATCCATAGCAATATTATGAAACTTAATGGGATATCCCATATACTATACTATCCCATATCCCAGGATATCCTTTTATACTCGGAAGATTGATCAGATAATGTGTATTTCTGTAACAAATTTCACGCAAGGTCAAATGGTGTTTACCTAACAGTGGTTATCTAACAGTGACTAGGGAGTGACTACCTGTGAGTGAGGTTTACTTCATTATACCTTTCCTACTAAATGTTTTGTACCTGATGCAATTTTTTGGTTTCTTAAATGAGATTAGAGTTATTTTAGCTGTATTTGCTGTTGAAGTTGTGGATAGTTAAGGGTTTTGCAACATTTTCTTAAAAAAAAATAATCATCTAGTTTATCTACTAATAAAAATAATACATAATGATGCAAAATATATATGTAATGTATGTATTTTTTCAGATTATACTCAAGCTACCTGATTATCATCGCAATGTATTCACCTACTTAATGGCATTCCTGAAAGAGCTTCTAAATCATTCGGAAGATAACAATCTTGATGTCAAAACTCTTGGTGAGTAACCTCATCACATTTTTTAAACTTTGCCACATTGTCATGGAAATAAGTCAATTTCTATGACTATGGGATGAGTGGTGTGCTCTGCAAATAAAGTAGAAAGGTTCTTTATATTCAAAGACATTACACAAAAATGTTAGGAGGTTATATTTTTCAGGAGGTTATTATTTTTTTTTTCTGGTTCAGTAACAGGGTTGTTGATTTGTGGAACCAAATGCCGCGTAACATTGTGGAGGTGGGGTCCCTCGATTGTTTCAAGCACGGGTTGGACAAGTATATGAGTGGGATTGGGTGGTTATAGAATAGGAGCTGCCTCGTATGGGCCAATAGGCCTTCTGCAGTTACCTTTGTTCTTATGTTCTTATGTTCTTATATGGAAGATGTGGTGCCACAAGATAACCTTGAGATAGTTCCAGGCATTACTGCCTTTGCAGCCTTGTCCACTGAATTATTCTCCTGAATGATAGCCTGGTCAACTAAGCTGTTGGTGCTTCTACAGTTTTAAGTACCAAGTAAAACGATCAGAAGAATTTGTTTGTATACTTTGGATACATTTTTAATGGAACAATTTAAAAAACTATCTTGGGTGATTAGTAGACAACTATCCCTATAGGGATATTACTTCCTGGAACTCACAGGTCAGAGTAGAAGAACTCCCGAAACCTTCTCCAGGTATGTACAGTATTGGTTATCAAGCCGTTTGCAGATTCATCTTGATCTCATGTTAATAAACAAATATTACGAAGGTATCATTTTTTCACGTCGTGTGTCACCTTTCTTTTTCCCGCCTATATATTCAAGTATTGTATTGCATTGATTATACTTTTGATAGTGAACGCAAAAGTGCTGAAGTAAAATATAGATGTATAGCCCGTTCTGTCGTGCCTGGTCTCGGGCCGGGCTCGGGAACAGAACTCCCGAGACCCTCTCCAGGCATACCCCAGGTATGTTCTGGGGTATGCCATTACCATAACACTTCATTAGGCTGTAGTTAGTCATTATTATAGTACCTTATTAGAGGTGTTTGGTTGTTGTTTGGTTTGACCGATCTTGAATGGCTATTTGGCACGTGACAGTACATCTATAACATCGTACCCCTTGTTCCCTGCCTTGGACATTCATTTATGTAATTTCTCCGTCCTACATGTTGTGGCTTTGTGGTTGCATCTATAATAGTTCTTTAGAATGGAGGAAATATGCTTTAGTGCACCAGAAATGATAAATACTGTACTGTATAGTCTGTTTTTATTTGCAAGTATAAATACAGTAGGCTCTTTACAAGGATAACCTTTATTTTCCTTCCCCTGTGTTATAAACTATTTGTTTTGTTTCTCCCTTTTGAGTCATACAGATTAAAAAGGGAATTTGTTTTCCCTTTGTATATATCTACTGTTTCTTTTTGTTTGTTTCCTCCTCCTCCCTTTTGCCTTGTCTCCTAATTTGGTGTTCCTACCAGTGTTTTTGCTGGTTATCTGGTGTGACGTTTGGGCTCCCCTTTGATCAAGTCGCTCCCCCTCCTCTTTCTCTTGACTTTGGTTCCCATAGTAGAAAGGGTCCATAACTTCTCTGCTGTTTTTCTTGTCTGTCATTTTCTATGAAGAAAGACCCCAAGAGGGTTGAAAACATGTTAGCAATATTTTCCACCTTTCAAATGTGGTTTATTCTGCATATATGTGTAATTACCTAAGTGTAGTTACAGGATGAAAGAGGGTGTGTGTGTGTGTAAGTAATATTTTAGTAATACTGCATGTATTTTGCTGCAATCACTTCTTACTTTTTAAATATATAGTGCAGCACTTTCTGAGCTTGATTGTCCTGGCCCTTGTGTTCAGTGGGTTTGTGTTTTTGTGAATGACTGTGAAACAATCATTCACAGTCAGGAAGAACAACATACAGTATTTCAGTGATGACAGTGTGTGTGTGTGTGTGTGTGAGGAATACATCTCCATATATATAAAGTTTATGTAATGATCCCATTCAGTGCCCTTAATCCTTTATAATCAGCTTTATCAAGTAATGTGAGATGTCTGCTTCCTCACCACACTTGACCTTCAGTAGAGGCAGAATGAACCAGCTCAGAAATCGATCGGTCTTTGAGCTGTATAAAAAGGGCTTCTCTGAGCTGATCATTCCACATTCACTCTTCCTATTTTTGTATCCCCTACACGAAAACATGTCAAGCATGGGAAGCTGAAGGTATGTGTTACATCTCCCTTGTGGTGGTCAGCGAAGGTCTGCCACTGGCTTAATTAACAAAACCACAGGAGCCATGATGAGGGTTCGAGCCTATACGCCGGATGTTACCAGGCACGCTCTAGTCGACTACGCCATTCATTCATGCTATTTGTTCATTGAGATCACATTAATGTGCTTTCTCTGTGTATTGGGTTAATTGGTAGTTTATCAGAGCCTTTTGTTGATAGTCACCTTGTCATCTCAGAGGAAGGGGATTTCTGTAAGGCTCGAGTTTGTGAACAACCCTGTGAATCATTATTATATTGATAATTCTCCAGGGACGCCTTAGCACCTTAGTCATCCCTGAAAGAAAAATGTGAAAGTTGCTGCGATGGCAATGTCCTGCCAGACATTGTGATCCTACCCGTTGAACACAGACGACCATTCATTAAGAAATAACAGAATTATCCGCTCAGAAAGATGCTTTTCATAATTATTATAGTTTGATTTTTATTTCATATTTACAGTATTGTATTTTATGAGTCTTATTAATAACTTTTAAATTTAGCACTGTATTGAATGTATATTATGTATTAAGAGGCATACAAGAAATAAATATTTCTTTACAGCCTTAGTTTTTGGAAGTATACTACTGAGAGAGCCGGTTAATACGGCTTCCGACCGCCGAACATCGCCTCAAGCAGTGGAGAGGAAGAAACAGACTTTTGTTCATCATTTTCTCATGAATGATTATGAATAATGAAAATGGATATGTCAATAATTTTCACGGTTCATTTTGGACAGTGTTGAATAGTGCAATATGCACTTACAATTGCTAAGTACAGTATTAGTGTCCTGAGTTTTGTTAAAATTCTAGTCTTTTATGTGCATTTTTGTTGGACTGTACATTTTTGTACATTTAAATTATGGGTTTCTTTAATCTTTTAATTAATGTAAAACATTGACTATTATCATTTTCATTAGTTGGATTGTTTCCAAGGTGGCACATCAATAGTTGATTGCTTAACTGATGGAGGCAACTATTGATCTTTCTGCAAACAAAAGTGGATGAGTAATGTCTTGTCTCCTGCACCCATAAAATCCAGCCATGGTAGGAGGAAACTACATCCACTTAGAAATTTCATGGTAGCTGTGTGTGTGTGTGTGTGTTCCTTTACACACACACTCGTTTTACATTGATATCTCAACTCGCTCATCTTCCAGTCATCCATAAATTCGCCCTTGTTATTACATCTTCATTCAAATGTAAATTTCATAACCTTCCAGGATAGCTCTGCTTTAATGTGTATGAGTTATCTGTCCCCTGTGAACATTTTGGACAAAAATCTTTGGGTACAGTACCAATAAATACCAAACTATTCTCAAATCTTCAGACTTTTCCATGCTTATGAATTTCATTACTCTCCTAAAAATTAGCTTAGTTACGATACATTAAATAATACATATTTTATCATTTCATCCGGGTTCACAAGTTTACTACAATTAAAGCTTTTCATAACATACATTCCTAAAATTTACATATTTGAAAATAGTTTCATAATCATGATCCTTTTAATGCACGACAAAAAGAGTTGGGTTAAAATCTTGCTGCATTTGCACCTTTGCAACATGGCTGCGTTAAAATCTTGCTGCATTTGCACCTTTGCAACATGGCTGGGTTCAAATCTTGCTGCATTTGCACCTTTGCAACATGGTTGGGTTCAAATCTTGCTGCATTTGCACCTTTGCAACATGGTTGAGTTAAATTCTACTTAATTTCAATGTTTGCAATATGGTTATGGGGAGGTTTTTTTTATCCTTTAGGGATAGTGAAGGGAGGCCCTTCACTATATTTCAAAATTACAGCTCATAGAGTTATGTAAAATATATTATATGATATTTTCAGTGTTCAGTTTGGATATAAAATATATTAAGTTTTTGTTGCATTCATTTAATTTATTTTATGCTAGTTAATTTATTCCTGATAAAGCCCATTTGTATTTTCTGTACTGTATGTGCAAAGAATTGTTTTAGAAGTAAATGAATATATATTATATCATGCAGTAAGACTTATCAGATAATGTGCCTATGTTGATTTTTAATATATTTGTTAATGAAACCCTTTCATCCACCTAACTCTTGGGATACTTCAAAATATATATATAGTGTATTAGCATTTTCTATTTGTCCATAAATAACATTTGATTTGTATGTTGTCTTGTTCAGTTTGTCTTGGTAGACAGTCCTAAACGACATTGAATTACGTATACGGTTGTAATTTATTGCTGTACTGAGCTACCTTACTTCTTCAAGGTAAATACTGGTGGATTTGTTGTAAAGAATGACGTTAATGCAGATGATGAGTCACGATAACGTGGCTAAAGATTTGATGACCAAACCACATCTCGGAAGATGGAGAGCGAAGATGTTTCAGTCCATCCTGGACCATTGTCAAGACAATTATCACTCGACTTGATAATGGTCCAGGATGGACCAAAATGTCATTAATTCTTCAACTTCTGAGCTGTGGTTTGGTCATCAATGAAGTTTATGCTAAGAATTGTAAGATTTGACGCAAATATATAGTTTCTGTGGGGAGCCCTGTCGGCTCCCAGAAGCTATTCGAACTGATGTGTGCTATATTAGTTTGAGGGTCATCAGTCACAGGAGTCCTTATGCGTACCGGGGACCACGAGCCAGAACCTTATGCCTACTGGGACCACGAGCCAGAACCTTATGCCTACCAGAGACCATGAGCCAGAACCTGGCTCTTTCTGAGAGGCGCTGGGAGCAATGGCCTATGAGCACTTTACATTTAAATTGTCAGAATTGCCATAAACCGGGGAAGGACGCAGTAAGGCAGATGAATCAAAACAGACCACTGTCTGGTTAACCTATGCAATCTACATCCAAAAGGATCAAAATAACTCCCCTAGAAAGAAACCCAACAAGCAAATAGAGTGCTATTTGCACTTCATTCAAATAGCACTCTCTTTCGTTAGCACTCACCGAAGCTGGCAGCCCACCATCCCAGTTCTTGAACTGACGTGCTGATGGTCAGATCAGTCACCACTGGCCTCAAGTTCCTGTTATGGATTTTTGCCCCTGTGTGGTAGTTCCAGCTGTGTGTGTGTGGTGTGGGGAGGTCAGGTGTCTCAAGAGTACAGGAGCAGAATGTGTCTAGGGAGATCTTCTCTAGGTGCTTCGTAAGTACTTCTATTGCGTGTCAGGGTTATCTTGAGATGATTTCGGGGCTTTAATGTCCCCGCAGCCCGGTCTTCGGCCAGGCCTCCACCCCCAGGAAGCAGCCCATGACAGCTGACTAACTCCCAGGTACCTATTTACTGGTAGGTAACAGGAGCATCAGGGTGAAAGAAACTCTGCCCATTGTTTCTCGCCGGCGCCTGGGATCGAACCCAGGACCACTGGATCACGCATCCAGTGTTCTGTCCACTCAGCCGCCGGTTGGCTGCAGGTTATCTTCCCTGGGGCGTTCGAGAAGTTGTGTCTGGTGGCGGCTTTACACTGCTACCTGTGGGCTACTGGTTCTGTGCCGGTGGACGCTCTCTGGGTGGATCTGGTTTCCTTGGTTCCCTGTTCCAGGACTCATGTGTCTCAGGTTTTCTGCCATGAAGTGTCATGAAGTCTAGCCAGCCTGCAGTCTACCATAATGCCCATGATGTTAGAAAGCATACTGCTCTCACGGCAGTTTTTAGCAACATGTCTTGGGTCGACATTCGGGCGTGGGGGATTTGGAGGTTAAACAGAGTCCTGGCTGCAAGGTATCTCGTGCACGTTTCAGTTCCTTCCCAGTTGTGTGTGGCTTTGGGTCTCCTGTCGCGGCCATCTGTCTCTTCCTCGTCTTGAGACCTGCAGTGCTGCTGCCTCCCGGGTAAGTCCCTCCTTTTACTTATCTTTGGGTAGTTAGCTTCAGGGAACTGATGGGGCTCCCCACAGAAAACCAGCATTGAATGTAATGAAATGCCATTTTCTGGGTGAGCCCCGGAGGCTCCATGACACCCTCCATCTGGTAAGTGGGTTTCATCGTTCAAGAACTGGAGTGATGGGTTGCCGTCTCCGGTGAGCACTAATGAGTGAGAGTGCTAGTTGCATGAAGTATTGCTTGTTGGGTTTCTTTCTAGGAGAGTTATTTTGATCTTTTTTGGATGTAGATTGCACAAGTTAACCAAACAGTGGTCTGTTTTGATTCGCCTACCTTTCTGGGTTCTTTCCTGATCGATAGCAATTATGACATAATTTAAATGTAAAGTGCTCATAGACCATTGCTCCCTACGCCTCTCTGAGGGGACTTGGTTCTGGCTCGTGGTTTCAGGTAGGCATAAGGACTCCTGTGACTGATGACCCCAAACTAATATAGCACATATCAGTTCAGATAGCTTCAGGGAGCCTCCGGGGCTCACCCAGAAAATGGCATTTCTTTACATTCAACGCTGTTTTTTTGAAGATACTTGCTTATATAGGAAATAAATATGTTATTTAACTTTCAATCGATTCACAATATATGTAGCTAATAAAATATAATTATATATTGCATCAAATAACTAAAGAGGTTCAATGATTTTGGACATGGTAAAAATGTGTATTTGAGGCCCAACAAATTGACATTGTTCAGCTTATAGGAACTCCACAATATGTTGTCAGTGAATTGAGTCAGTATGTTTCACACACAACTTGACCAAGGTCCAGGACGGACCGAAACGTCATTGTTTCTTCATCTTCTGATGTGGTTTGATCATCAGGCAGTATGTTTACTGTTATAAACTAGACAATAAATTAGTAAATGAGTGCGATGATTATAGTAATTAAGAAATCGAATAGTTTAATGATTACAGTTGGTTAAGAGAGAACATAATGCACATACGGTGTATAACAATATACTGTACATCACACACATACTGTGTGATGTATATTGTTATACGTCACAGTATGAATAAATTTAAAATTTACAGTTCTTCATTGAAAGAGGCTTTGGAAGGTAGATCTATAATATGCTATTTAAATGGACTTTTAAAAAGTAACATTCTTTTAACCCAAATGCATATTATGTTTATAGTGTGTTTGTAGATTGGAGCACTTTAATCATGTTTCTGTTTTAATATCCTGTATATACTAAGAAAATTTTGCCTAATGCTTTTTGTGTTATTTAATTAAATAATAGATCTTATTTTTCAGTCTGACTTCACTGCATAAATTATTATTTGTTAATGACATGAACTAATATATTCAAATTCTTGAAAATTACTGAATTGTGGAATGTGTTTTTCTTTTATACACTTCATAATCTATACATTTTATTGTAAACATTACTTTTTCAAAACATACAGATGCATACACATGCATCTATATCCCCAAATGCATTACCAATGCTCCCACTCTGAGTTAACCGAATGTGAAAAATAAGACTATTCCCAAGTTCATTCACAGATACTAAATATGAGACAGACACTTCCTTCGTGTGTAAATCACAAAGAAATTAACAATGATGAACAATGTGACAATGTCAGACCATGAAGGAAGGATTAAGACAGGAAATTCCTTAAGTACTTTTTATATTTAATATTACATCTGTGTCTGAAGATGTATTGTTAAATACGAAAATTCTTAAGGAATTTCCTGTCTCATTCCTTCCTTCATGGTCTGACATTGTCACTAAATATAAGGTTTAATGTGTAACATATACAGCAGAAGGTTTAGATATTTTGTCTCTGTGTAGAGCAGGACTGAATTAGGACCCATGTCATAATTTGCTTTTAAAAAAGTTTTTGCATCTCTTGTTCTCGTTTAGCGATCATACGAAATTAACAGATGCTTGGAAACAGGTTCAAGTGCACCAAGATTGCACTGTGTTTTACACCAATAACTGATTTTTTACCTGTCAACATCTCAGGTTTTATGTATTTTTTTCTGGGCACATTATTGATGTGTGTGATATGTTAGTTGCTCGCTCAAGGGTAATTATGTATTGTTAATTACCCTTGTTATCAACTTTAAAATAACAACATGGTTTTAAATTTGATGTCTGATGAAGCAATTCAGCCTTTATTCTCTTTTTAATTTTGTAATATGAATGCCATAATATGACTATTGTCTGACAATCAAAGTTATACATACAAGCTCAAAATTTTATTTGTTCTGTTTTAGCTTATATAGCCAAAGTCTAAGGCAAAATTATGTAATAACCCTATAACCATTTTGCATAATTTTATGGTCAGTTTTTTTTTATATTAGCTATTTAGTCTGTCGTGAATGAATGCGGTGAAGGTTCTGTTGAAGTTCTTTGAGTGATCGTAATTCAAGGGGAGCTCTATGGTTGCTGTGGCAATATTTTAGACTTCCAGTCATGAAAACATATGTAACTATATGGCACGCATAGACACGATGTAATTCTAAATTATTGGGATCATCTCAAACTCTCAAAATTTATTCTCTTTTAAAGGAGACAAGAGAAGTATCAAATAATATATACTATACACGGAAAATACTGGAGGGCCAGGTTCCAAATTAGCACCATAAAATAACAACATACTGGAGTGAATGATATGGAAGGAAATGCAGAATAGAGCCAGTGGAGAGTAGAAATGCCATAGGCACAATCAGGGAGCACAATGTAAACATCAGAGATCCATGATTGTTCAATATTCTCCCAGCAAGTATAGGAAATATTGCTGGAACAAAAGTGGAATGCTTCAAGAAATAAACTGGACAGTTTTCTGCAAGAAGTGCCAGACCAACCGGGCTGTAGTGTATATATGATCCTGCGGGCCTCTCCAAGCAGCAGTCTGTTGAACCCAGCTCTCTCAAGTCAAGCCTGGCTTGGGGGAGTAGAAAAACTTCCAGAACCCCATCCAGGTACAATCCAGGTACACACAGCTCTCATAATTACAATTTAAATGTATTCTCCTGAAAAATATCATAATTAAATGTGGTACTGTAGTGTAATGTGTCACTGATGATTCTGGCTGCAGATAACTGACAGTTCCAACACAAGACAAGACAGTATTTTCCCCTAGTGGCTAAGGGCCACACAGAAGCAGACGGTGGATTGGGGACCACTAGTTTAAACGATCATATTTCCATTAAGAGGGTACCTCATCTGATGAAGCAAAAATGTTTTTCTTGTTGGTTTAGTGCTTTTGTTATTAAGAACAAGTTTGATGTCTTGTTCATTATTTTTTTATAAGCCTACCCAAAGAATGAAATAAATATAGTGAAAGGTGAACTTGAGGCTTAGAAATTTAATCAATTAACATACTGTAGTGTATACCCTTTACTATTTATACATCATCCACTGGATAGTTCTAGACAATTCTAATCAAACTTTGACATTTGTGCCTTATTAGATATTCTAATAAATTTTATTCTTGGATGGCTTTCACAGTACAGTAACCTCTTGTCTATAAGGGCAACTTCGAGATATACATAATTATTCGAAGCAGTGATTCTTCAAAGAACATGGCAACCATAATAAGGTTATATTTCTTATTTAAATCGGACTACCCAACCTGGTATACTGTACGTGGGCTTGCTGTGATGGAGTTAACAATTAATGCATTCTTCAAGTCTATGTCTGTCTCCGATTGGCATGTATCAAACGTTGTATTAGTTTTTACTTACCTTTATTTTGGGCAATACCAGTCTCAGGCTATTGAGAGTCAACAATGGCAGCATTCATAAGAAAGTTTTTACTGTATGGACATGAACGAAAGGGGCTCTTTGAGCTCATAGTTGCTGTTCTATATTATGATGTAGCAAAACATTCAACTGTACCCCAAGTGTGGTCACCTGAATTGTTTAGAGGCCTAATTTTTTTTTAACTATTCAGGCCTTTCTGTTGTGTGTTTCTTGTTGTGCTCATTAAAACAATGTGGGCATCCTGCATGAGGCTCTGCATTATTGTGGTGAAAAAAAGAATGATACTCTTGTGTGTGAAATAATTTAAACAGATTAATGTAGCGTTTACATAACATCACGGCATGTCTCATCACCGTGTGGCATACCCAGCAGCAACAGTCAGTAACCTGGCGGCTGTCATAGTGTGGTTCCTTTGTGCGTTTTGGTCTCCTACATTGTGTGCATTTCGCTGTTATTGATGTGTTCTGCTGGTGGTACTGCAATGTTCATATGGCACCTATCAATAATCTAACTAAAAAATCTTTAGCACAGGTCATAGCTTTAAAGCAGGCAGGCCACCAAACGAAGCAGATTAGTGAGGTGGTTGGTGTGTCCAAGCTGAGAGTACAAAAATATTTTGCCAGGTTTAATGAGGCAATCGGTGAGACGCCATCACAAAAACATCAACCTGGTCATCCAAGGACCTCTTTAAG